AAGTGGGCAGATTTTCTCCGGTTTGTGTATTTTCAGATTCTAGCGATCTCGAGCCGGTTTCTCAAACTTACCTACCCCACCTTTAACATGGGAGAGTCTAAGATCATTGACCCTTATTGCCTTCCCAAATCAAATATTTACCACCCTGAAAGATGTGATCATTCATGTGGCTGCAGATATTTAGAACATCGTCAACAGTTAACTGGATTGCACTTAAATTGTAACTCATTGACTTTCTCTGTGTGTGAGCGACCCACTAACATCCTTAGCCTGCGATCGTGTGTGTGGTGTGTGTTAGTGTGTGTGTGTGTGTGTGTGTGTGTGGTGTGTGGTGGTGTGTGTGGGTGTGTGTGTGTGTTTCTGTGTGTGTGTGTGTGTGTGAGCGACCACCCACTAACATCCTTAGCTGTGTGTGTGTGTGTGGTGGTGTGTTTGTGTGTGTGTGTGTGTGTGTGTGTGTTGTGTGTGTGCAGCGACCCCACTAACATCTTAGCTGTGTGTGTGGATGTTGTGTGCTGTGTGTGTGTGTTGTGTGTGTGTGTGTGTGTGTGGTGTGGTGTGTGTGTGTGTGTGTGTGCTGTGTGTGTGTGTGTGTGTGTGTGTTTGGTTTGTGTTTGTGTGTAGAACATAGTTGTGGTTGTCTAAGAATCTAATACACCTGCTGGGACTCAATAAATGTCAGACAAGTCCATACAAGTCTGGTTTTATAAAAGAAAACCAAGAAAGGACAAGCACCTTCTACGAAATGTGTTTCGTAACTCCACTCGAATCATTTGGACTTGTCGAAGTAAGTGAATGAAATGAATAGAGTTGTCACAAGAAAATCACCTTACAGTAAGTCCATAACAAGACATTTAGATAATGCCTGGGATAATACTATCAGCATTAATAGAGGAAAGTCAATGGAAACAATTACCATTTACCACTAAACCCTGAGGATTGTCATTCATTCATCACCAACAGAAAGTAGCAAACGTTTTAAATCACTCTAAAGTCTCCTATAAAAACAATAACACAAAACGTATTGCCTCTTTTTAAGAAGGCTTGATTAACTGTTGCGTTAAAGGTTGTAAATGAAATGGGAAATGAAAAAAGCAATAATAACATGGAGGACTGTGGCGTATGTCTCTGTTGCAAACACTTCTAGTAGTAAACAAATGATGCTGCTAAATCACTGCTATTATTGTATTTTATGGGACTTTTAATGCACATTATACATCAATATATACATTCTTATATAAATATGCCATTATGGTGCAACTAAACCCTAATTTCCCCATGTGATTATTTATAGATATTCTCTTTTATTCTGAGCGAAGTCTGTCCGTTAATGAACTAAGTCAATCATTTAACAATACAAAAACAGGAAGTAGAACAGGAATCCATTAATATGCTATATTGATTAAACATCACTTTACATATGTGCACTTAGCAGGGTAACTAATGTTGATATTAATGGTGTTTTTAAGGAGACACGCAGTTTAAATACGGGGGGTTGCGTGGTTGTTTCCTTTATTTCTAACAGCCTGCCTCATTGCATCAGTCCTGCGAGTCAGTATGTACTGTAGCTGTGTCTGATTTTTTTAAAGTCTGCAGACGCCCCTAAAGAAAGGGGAAAATACAAGTTTAAATGTGAGGACATGCACTGTAAAAAAAACAACTTCCCCGACCACAATACTATAAAGAAAAGTGTCTGAGTGTGAGGACTAAAGCAGAATAGAGGAAGAGAGATTGTACTCGCATCTGGTTTGAAAAGGAGGAAGCAGGATGAGCTTTCTCGGTAATGAAGTCAAAAATAAGAGAAGAGAGAAGAGGAAACCTGTATGTGGTTACTGAAGGGTCCGTGTGTGTGTGTGTGGGTGTGTGTGTGTGTGTGTGTGTTGAGTGTGTGTGCATGCACTGTTGTACTTCTGCAGGGTGTGTGTTGGTGTGAGCCCTTGCGGTTTTCATCATTGCTGTGACTGTGGCAGGAGTTTAACACACACTGTAGACAGAAGTGTCAAGGGGTGAGATATTCTGTCTGCGTTTGCAAAGCAGCTTATCCTTGATGTCGATGTCGACTGTCGGGTGGTCGAAATATTCAAAGATGTATCATCAAAGATGGAGAAAAGTCCATGAAGTGAGCTGAATTGATCTGGAGGTTTGTTCAGATTGTGGGAGAGTTTAACCATGTGTCTGTTTTTGCACAGATTCAAAGGCTCTATTGTCGTGTAGTTTCGTCAAGGAAAATCTAAAAGAGGCCCAATCATGCTTTGGGTGGTTTTCCCTTTCCTGTAGTGTGTTGGTGTTTGTGTGCATGTAAATGAAAATCCTCCATTACGGATACTTTGTCTACTTCCAATGACGTCACTATGTATATCACTTTGTTTCTATTGGCTAGCGCTCCAACACATTGTACGTGAATAGGCTAAGGGCGGGACATCTCTAAGCGGCTTTGACAAAATCACAACAGAGCCGGCCAGCTAACCAATCAGAGCAGACTGGCTCTGGTTCAGACAGAGGGTGAAAGAGGGTGTTGCAGCACAGACAAGTATGAGAAAATGTAAGAGCTTTCTGAACATTAAAGCATGGAGACATGTCCCCATTAGAGACACTACATACTGATATGAACCTGAAAATTAGCTTAATATAATATATCCTCCTTATGTCTCAGACTCATCTAGCCATGCAAAATAAAAATAAGAATAAAATAAATAAATAAATAGTGGCAAGAGAATTTGAAAGTGAAAGTCAAAAAGATAAATTAAGAACAGAATGTACGGTACTTAATGAAACTTAAATAATATGCAGTGGAATAAAATACTGCTTATTGAGTGATATTAAATATGAAAGAGATGGAAACAAATGAAGGAAGTGAAGAGATTAACAGTGTGTTAGTCTGAACAAGTGAACATTTCCACGTGAGCGGTGCCGATGACAGTTGCATGCAAACGTGTAATTCATTGTGTTTGTTTACACAAGTCATGGCATGAGATAGCGTTGATTTGCATAACTGTAGGCTGCAAGTCACAAAGGGGGATTGTGGGATAGAATCCAGGAGACCAGGCGGCATGCAAATCCTGGAGATGCACAGACAGTGTGTGTGTTTGTGTGTGTGTGGGTGTGTGTATGTGTGAATGATACGATAAGAGAGAGGAAATCAAGTGGGAGTGGGAGGACGATAAATATAGAAATATATAAAAAAGGAGAGGGAAATGGAAAGACGTCAGTTGGTTAAAGTTGATGTTGTTTATAAGAGAAACCGCAGAAGTGGGGATTGTGTGATGTGCAGAGCCGTACGCTGGTGTGTGTGTGCTGTGTGTGTGTGTGTTGGTGTGTGTGTGTGTGTGCTGGTGTGTGTGTGTTGGTGTGTGTGTGTGGTGTGCTGGTGTGTGTGTGTTAGTGTGTGTGTGTGTGTGCTGGTGTGTGTGTGTTGGTGTGTGTGTGCTGGTGTGTGTGTGTGGTGTGTGTGTGTGTGTGTGCTGGTGTGGTGTGTGTGTGTGTGTGTGCTGGTGTGTGTGTGTTGGTGTGTGTGCTGGTGTGTGTGTTGGTGCGCTTCATAAAGCCTTCAAGTTTCTTCTGCAGATAATAATGAATGGGTGTCATGTCATAAGAGGCATCTCATTTCTAGTTAATTGCTATCTCTACGGAAACCCATTTCTGACGGTTAAAGAGACGAATGTGATGGAAGTAGTTAATATAACCTTAATCATTATTTATAAAATATGACTTAGTAATAGAAAATAGTGACTTACATTTTTCAATAAACTGACTCAAAAATTGCTTAATTGTTTACGTATTAGAAAATAAGGATTCATATCATTCAAAAATATTGACCCAGAATTGAATTTGTTTTACTTAGTTATCTCACAAATAACAACTGACTTAGTCTAAAATAAACGACTTAATTGTTTTAGAAAATAATGACTTTTTTCAATTCTAAATAACGATTTAAATACAAATACTTCAACATATTTGTAATTGTGAGCTGCTTTCCCATGAAGCAGGATGAGCCCTTAGAAATAGCATAGCTCAAAAAAGAAATCATGACAGATTGTTTAGGGGCCGATGTTGATTTTTTTTTTATCTCCCTTAGTCTTGCAGACAACTAACCTCATGTGACGTAAGATTTGATTGTGGTTCCTGCAAAAATGTCGTCTTTGTTTCTGCTTTCTTCACATTTTGTACCAGAGAGATACACATCAGAAAACCTCAGTCGCAAATTCTCAAGCAACATTTACCTGAGTGTAATGCAGCCACTGATATTCTGAACAAACTGTGCTGTTGTATTTGCTGTAAAGTGTCTTTACTGTAGGGTATTTTATTATATGTACAGCACTTTGGCTCGACCAAAGATTGTTTAAAAATGTGCTATATAAATAAAACTTGATTTGATTTGATTTGATTTGATGTTATCTGTGTACAATGAGTACAATGCCAGCAGGGGTGTCCAAACCCGTTTTCACTGAGGGCCACATCCAGAAGAATATATGAAGGGCTGCTGCCGCTCACTTATCAGTTAAGTTATAAGTTGGCACAATCAATCAAATGTAGGAAAGTTGTGATTGATACTTGAATATGCTTTAAGAAAAAAACAGCCTCCATCACAGCTCTCCGTCGGGTTTCATTTATCTTGTTTGCAGTTCATCCCTTAACACAGAAAGCCTCAGATTGCTTATCATAAGAGGAAATATGAAGGGTCTATTCAGGCCTTGTTATGTAAAAAGTTATTGGGCTTTTCTCATCAACTTAGATTTGTTAGAAAATGTTTTCAGCTTGAATTTATTTGGAAGTCGGATTGACATGAATACTGTGTATTATATTTGTACATATATATTTAGGAAGTACAATATAAACAAGCATAAGTTTCATTTGTGGGCCATATTCCATTATACCTTTTGAATTAGCTGAGGGCCGATTCAAAATGGCCTGCGGGCCGCATTTTGGTCATTTCTTTTGGACACCCCTGTCATATATGGACACACACATGATTTGTACTACTACCTTTCAGAGTGTGAGCGATGGAGAACGGGACGTACAGCGACGTGGAGGCGCTGTGGGAGAAGTGCAGTGTACACGGTACGAGTTGTTCGTCGCACCATCTCCCCGGGCCAAGCTGACCCCGTACCTCCGGCAGTGCAAAGTCCTGGACGAGCAGGACGAGGACGAGATCCTGAACTCCATGCTGCTGGTCTCCAAAGCAAACCGCACAAGTAGGTAGAGGCGTGTGTGTGTGTGTGTGTGTGGTGTGTGTGTGTGTGTGTGGTGTGTGTGTGTGTGTGTGTGGTGTGTGTGTGTGTGTGTGTGTGTGTGTTGTGTGTGTGTGGTGTGTTAGGGCTGTGCGATTATGGAAAAAAATCCTAATCACCGATTATTTTGGTCAATAATTGATATCACGATTATTAAAAACGATTATCCATTTACTTTGAAAACATCCATTTATTGAAACAAAAATGTGAACAGTATGTTTTTAACAGTTGATTACCCTGAACTTTAAGTATAATTCAACTGAAAAAGCAAAAAAAAAATTATTAAAAAAAAATTATAATTACATTTTTCTTTTTTTTTATAAAAATAATAATCGTTTTATTTCGATTACGTTGTTTTCGTAATCGTTGCAAGCCAAAATCGTAATCGAGATTAAAATACGATTAATTGCACAGCCCTAGTGTGTGTGTGTGTGTGTGCTTCAAGTTTCAAGTTTCAAGGCTTTTATTGTCATGTGTGCATAGCTACAGTGTAGTTATGACAATGAAGATCTTAGGTCACAGGCTCCTCCAACAGTGCAACACAATAAAGCAGATTAAATAGTACAAGTAAATAAAATAAAATAGAATATAATAGAAACAGAATATGATAGAAACTGTGCAGAATAAGATTTGTATCTTAGTGTGTTGACTGTGTATATAGGATATACATATTTTATACATATTTTTATACATATCTGTATATTGTATAACTTTATATTCGGGATTGTTGGAAACGTCATTTCCATCTCTCTGTCTGTAAACACAAACTGAGTAAGATTGACATACAAGTTGACTTTGACTTTGACTATATACAGTAATTGGAATATTGATATATATGATATATGTGATTTGCAAACAGATGAATGTGCGTGTGTGTGTGTGTGTGTGTGTGTGTGTGTATGTGTGTGTGTGTGTGTGTGTGTGTGTGTGTGTGTGTGTGTGTGTGTGTGTGTGTGTGTGTGTGTGTGTGTGTGTGTGTGTGTGTGTGTGTTCATTGTAGTGTTTCCTGATTGTATATGTTATCCTGTGGGTCTGTCATTTACTTGGCTGTGTTTCCTCATGTGTGTCTTCAGCAAATATTGTATACTACTGTACTGAGCCCATATGACTAATATTTTCTTTTTCATTTCTGACTTTATGACGCAAGACCTCTTATGGTTGCAGTGATTCACCATTTAGTTTTTTGTGACCAACTCTTTTATTACATTTTACAGTCACCTTAACCAGATGACACACATATTTTAGCAAAACAATTCATAACCCACACATTTTTTCCGATAACAAGATTTCACCTTTGCAAACTAAGGTGTGCATATCTACAATCATATTTTACACATAGGATAAATCCAGGTCAGCATCTCCTTGACTTTTAAAGACTCTAGTGTTTATTCTTTAGCATTGTTTACAGATGCATTGCTAGGCTAGGCAATACAAAGAAAATCCTATAGTTCCAGGTCACATTTTGACCTTCTTCGTGACTCAAGAATTGACATTTATAGCAAATTTGGTCAAAATGTTAGATACATCACCTGCAGATTAATACCAAACTAAGGCCGGGTGACATGGAGAAAAAAATCGAATATCATGATATTTTGATCAAATACCTCGATAACAATATGGCGTTAATATTGTAAAGTTGACTGTTGGTGCTTTCACAAAAATGTATCCAAGAGATAAAATAATAATAATGTAGATATAATTGAAACATCGGGTAGATTCCAGTTTAATTTCACAGTAACGACATAATGTTGATGTATTGCCCAACCCTATTCAATACCTATGTAATCATCCACTACATTTGGGCACCATACAAGATACATAATTGTCATTTTCTTTCCTTTTATGTCTGTAAGGTAGCTGGGAGGATCTGCACTCTACTGATTGATCTTTTGTAGTTTATTTAACATTATGTTGTGTTTCATGCAATAGCTTTCTCCCTCTCTCAGCTGGAGATAGTGTGCATTTGTGTTTCTGTGTGTTGAATTTCAATCATGTCCATCAATCCTATCCTATCAGGCCGTCTCCTCGACATCCTGCACAATAAAGGAGAGCGGGGCTATGTGGCCTTTCTGGAAAGTCTCGAGTTTTACTACCCTGAAATGTACAAGCTGGTCACGGGGAAGGAACCCACGCGGCGCTTCTCCACCATCGTAGGTGAGACACACGCCTCTGGGTCCAAAGTAACGCAATGAGGAACAAGGCAATACAGTCTAACCTACGAACAGTTTTTAAAGATCTTGTTCTGCTGGTTTTAAGAAGAACTTGATATGTATCCAAATCAGTTTTCAGCAAAGTTGGGAGGGTTACTTCTTAAAAATGTTGTGTTGTAAGTACTGTAAAGAAATGTAATCGGTAACGTAATCAAGTCAAGAGTATCAAAATATGAACGTAATATAACCTTCTGTTACTTTTGGATTAACTCAATATAAAATGCAAAGCAAATAAATATAAGAGAAAATGAATGTCAATAAGATGTTTTTTACTTAAGTGTATGTAACAATGCAACCTTAGAAAAGAAGAAACCAAGATATTTCATATAAAAAATGTAGTAAAAGTAATAGTTTACAAATGCTGTTCAAGCTTAATACATCAAAAGCACAGACTGTATTTTTGTTGAATAAATCAGGTGTCCACCTACTGCATTAAAAAAGACATGGATTTAGAATAAAGAAGAATTAAAGTAGCCTAAATATAAACCATAATGAAAAGTAATTCAGTACGTCTACCTATAAAAATCGATATTTATTATAAAATGTATTGTACCACTGTAATCAAATAAATGTAGCAGTCATCTGATTACTTTAAAAAATATATAATTGTAATGGAATAGTTTTTTTTAGTATCCTGATGACGTAATCTCGTTACATGTAATCCGTTACTCCTCAAGCCTGATTACACTATGTAGAGTAGATGATGTAAAAATATGTTTATACCATAGTGTGATGTCTCTTTTTCTACTCCTTTTCTTCTCGCCTGTCCCCTCGCTGCAGTCGAGGAGGGTCAAGAGGGTCTGACCCAGTTCCTGATGGAAGAAGTGATGAAGCTGCAGCAGCAATCCAAAGTGAAGACCCTGCAGCAGGCTGAGCTCAGCAGGAAGAACTGCACCCTGGAGGACGAGCAGAAGAAGCTCCGGCTGACCAATCAGGAGCTCCAGGCCGTCCAACTGAGTAAAAAATACATGTTATTTGTTAGAAAAATATCACTCGTCACCGGCTTGAGCTTCAATAATCAGGATCCATGTATTTATTATCCTCTCAAGAATGGAAGTAGTCGTCACATACAGAGCATTTGGTACAACTAGTTCCAGAACAGTGTCCTTCACATGCTGATATACAAGAGAGTGTTACAGTCACAAGATGGAGGAATACCGGTTCAAAGCAGTATACAATGTTTAGTTCAGATTAGCTAAGGCCCACGTCAGAAATGATCATGCTTGTCATATCTCCATAGAGGCTGAATCATCATGTTAATCACATAGCTATCATATGCCTAAAAACAATCCTGACGCTCTTTTAGCTAATCATACATCCTGTCATGTACTCGGCTACGTAAGGCCTTTGTTATCATGTGCTACTCTGATATTGAAAGTTCAGTATTTTCCCAACATTATTTTATTTAAAATATGTTCTGATCACGCAGTGGAACATCACCGCGGTCTGTAGAGCCGTGCTATTCAGTAGAAATACCGCAATAGTGTTTCAAATGGTTGATCATTGAATCCAAACCATACTGAAACTGCTCCCCCACCACATTGCTTTTTTCTTTTACCCTGCTCTGTGCACGGCAGTTGGGTTTTGCAAGCCTAGGTTGTCAATATCATTGTCTACAATAGCCTATTCAGTAAACTAGGACACTGAGCTTTTAATGTTTCACCATGTCCTGTGTTGTTGGAACAAGTTTTAACAAATGCTGAATTTCTCTGGAAATAGCGTTGTTGCCAAAATTAACTTCTCTTATAGTAAATTCTGGTCTGGGTACATTTGAGAAATCTTAGTTTAAACTTGGTTTTAAATGTGTTGCAGTGATCGAAGTGGCCAGACAAGACACATCTCCTTTCAAAATGTCTATTACGCGTCTGTTCAGATTTCGTTACTGCCTTTGTCACTTTCGTTATAAGGTTAAAGTGCTCAGTCTTTACATCAGTCTGTATGTATATTTTGGGCTATTCAAATTTTCGAGATTTTCGAGATTGTCATGACAAAATAACTTTTCATTGAGACTAAAAATAACCACCACATCACGCACCTATGACATTTTTTCCTTTAAGTCCTCGTTGGGGATGCGTCAGGCGGCATTAGCATTCACACAAAAAAAGATATGTGGTCAAGTGACTAATAGATGACCTCTGCAAGAGGTTTGAGTGATGGGAACACAGTGCATCTTGGTGGTCATTTACACTTTAAGACTGTCCCCTTGTGATGTTATTGCACAAGAACCATTGTCATTGGAGCTATTAGTAGCCTTCTGTTAGCTACTAGTTGACGTGCTTTGCTAGTTGTTAGCCTACCATACGCTACGATTTGCTGTGTGCTTTATTGAAAACAGAATTTTCAGACATGTCCTTCTGTTGTAGCATAAACCATAATGTTATTTGCTTCATTGTGCATGAACATGAACACATTCAATTTAGGCTTTCCCCTGATAACAAAACACACAATATTAAAAGCTAAATGTTAGCACTTATAGCGGTCAAAAAAAACGTTTGCCTATCTGGGGGTCAAAAACCACAGAGCAACTGCTACTTTCTTACATTTTAATAACTCACTACAAGCTTGAAATGGGAACAAAACCACACAGGTCATCATGAGCTGGCTAACACTAGCACTTGCAACACAGTCTCACGGCATTTCGTGTTATAGTCATGAAATGAATCTATTGATTCGTGTTCACCAACACGATTTTAAAAGCAATGTAAATAATAACAAATTTAAAAATACAGATTTAAGTATTCTGACACAGAACGATTTTAGAAGCAATGCATTTATATTGGTAGTATGTTTCGTGCCTGCACCAAATAATAACAAATTTGGAAAAAAAAAAAAAAGTAAATTCAGATTTCAGTATTCTGAGGCTCTGAGCCCTATTTATTTTAAAATAAAAGGGGTAGGGTAAGATATTGAGTAAGAAAATGTTTTTATGAACCACACAGCTTCTGGTCAAAAAGGTGGTGCAGGCACAAAATATACTACCGATAGAAATACATTGCTTTTAAAATCGTTCTGTGTGACACGAAACAAATGCAAAAATCGTGTTGGTGAACACGAATCAATGGATTAAATTAATTTCGTGACTATAACACGAAATGCCGTGAGACTGGGTTGGCACCATAGGTTGGCACTTGATAACCAGTTAGGTAGATAGCATGAAGATCCTTGTTAAGTGAAGGAATCAAGTTTAACAAGTTTAGTTTCCTGCATTTGTGTTTATTTACAGAAGCTAGTTTGTGGATTTAGAATTACTTTGTTGTTATTTTAGCCAACACGAGCTAAATGGCTAAATCTGATAGCAGTTTGTCAGATTGCTAGCTTAAGCTAGATGGAGGGAAGGTGGAAAAACTGCCATGAAAAGTGACAGTTTGTCTAAGAATAACATGTTCATGGATTTCGCAATTATTGCTTAACACCCTCATGTCTACTGTATTAATGACTCAACCTGTGTTCTCCAGGGAACAATAAGTTGAGAGAGGAAAGAAACAGCTACAGTGACGAGCTACTGAGAGTGAAGGATGAAAACTACAAACTGGCCATGAGGTACGCCACGCTGAGCGAGGAGAAGAACATGGCGGTGATGAGGAGCCGCGACCTGCAGCTAGTGGTACTGATGAACGTGTGAATGCATGGAAACATTGTCATTGCATTATGTTCTTGCAAACTTGTATGCACACTCAACGAGTTTGAGGACATTAAAGGTCACCTATTATGCAAAATCCACCTTTTCATGTCTCCTCTACATCACCATGTGTCCCCTCTTCTTCATGTCTCTTCTACATCAACATGTGTCCCATCTGTGGAAAGAGACTCTGAAAGTTTCAGGAAAAAAGATTCTCGCACTTTTTGTCCTGATCCATTTATATAAAAACCTGTCTGAAAATGAGCTGATCAGATTTTGGCCACTTGATGATGTCATAACGATGTTTTGGCTTGTGTAACCATTAGCCAATCAGCAACCAAGGTAACCCCCCCCCCCCCCACCTTATCACCTGAATCTCCTCCTAGAGCACCATGGTGTTCTTTTTAACCAAATATCTCTCAGAGGGGCGTGGGGAGGGGCTCCTTATTTTCATCTAAAGTAACAGACAGAGAATCAGCACTTTTGAAACAGGGCTGAAACAGAGGGGATTATGGGATGCTGCAATGATCTGTTTGGTGTTTGGAGCCAAACACTTCAGAGACAGGTTCTGTATATATCTGAGACCTATAATATATTGATGAGAAACAGTATAATAGGGGACCTTTAAGAAAGACTTAGTAGCTCTATTTATTCTGCATCCGTACTGTGTTTATAGGTTGATCAGTTGAAGCACAGGCTGAACAAGGTGGAGGAAGAGTGTAAAATGGAGAGGAGGCAGAGTCTCAAGCTGAAGAACGACATCGAGAACCGGCCGAAGAGAGAACAGATCTTTGAGCTGGAGAGAGAAAACGAAATGCTCAAGATCAAACTACAGGAGCTGCAGTCCATCATACAGGTACGACCAGCTGTCATGCACACACACACACACGCACACACACACACACCATATTGAAAAACAGTAAACTAAATTGTTCAAAGGAACAGTATCAGGTGGAGGAATTATTTTATACCTCAGTCTATGCTTTTGCCAAACCAAAATCATTGTGCTGCTTACTGAGATCAAAATCTGTTAAATTTCATGACAGTTTTGTACGTCTATAAATAGGATCTTGTGTGTAACAGCATGTCCAACTTGTGTGCACACTACTTGAACACTACTACCAAAGGATGCAAAATGAATTTGAGTGTAAACTAACTATAAAATTGTCCGTAACATAATAATGATGAAGTTGTACCTTAATACACAGCCGATGCCGCTCCCTGCATCAGACAAGGCCATCCTTGACATTTTGGAGCACGACAGACAGGAAGCACTGGAGGACAGACAGGATCTGGTCAACCGCCTCTACAACCTGCATGAAGAAGTGAGACAGGCAGAGGAACTACGAGATAAGGTAACCAACACACACACAAGCTGTGTACAGTTACTCAAGTATTGAAGTTTAACACAATTCTGAAGTACTTGTATTTGTAAGTTTTCCTGTTTTATGTCTCTTTATACTTTTGCTTCACTACATTTCCGAGGATGGTTATTTTTTTCCAATCCATTATATATGTTTTAGATTCTCATAGTGGGAATCAGTATGGGGAACAAACAAAGGTTACCAAAAACAGACCTTTCAAACCCAAACCCATGACCAGAGGCTCTCTGCCTGACACTCATGAGGCCATCTGTGAAAAACACCCCATGCAAAAAACAACAACCCATATCATCCGGTGTGTGTGTGTGTGTGTGTGTGTGTGTGTGTGTGTGTGTGTGTGTGTGTGTGTGTGTGTGTGTGTGTGTGTGTGTGTGTGTGTGTGTGTGTTGTGGTTGTCTAAGAATCTAATAAACCTGCTGGGACACAATAAATGGTCAGACAAGTCCATACAAATGTGGTAAGACAAGAACTTCTACTGAAATGTGTTTCGTAACTCCACTCGAATCATTTGGACTTGTCAAAGTAAGTTAATGAAATGAATAGAGTTGTAACAAGAAAATCTCTGTGTGTGTGTGTGTGTGTGTGTGTGTGTGTGTGTGTGTGTGTGTGTGTGTGTGTGTGTGTGTGTGTGTGTGTGTGTCTGTATGTGTGTGTGTGTGTGTGTGTGTGTGTGTGTGTGTGTGTGTGTGTGTGTGTGTGTGTGTGTGTGTGTGTGTGTGTGTGTGTGTGTGTGTGTGTTGTGTGTGTAGTACCTGGAGGAGAAGGAGGATCTGGAGCTGAAGTCGTCCACGCTGCAGAAGGATTGTGAGATGTATCGCAACCGTATGGACACCATCACTGTGCAGCTGGACGAGGTGGAGAAGGAGAGGGACCAGGTGAAAACACACACGTGCAGATTTGCGAATATCCCCCATATAACAACTCAATCAATGACAATAAATAAATGGTTTGTATGGAATAACCGCATAGTCAAGCCTAATGTTGTTTAATTAAAGGGGCTTCATACAAATATGAACCTGAACATTTGCATAATATGTCCTCTTTAAAATCTAAATATATGTGTATATATATTAAAAAAAGAGTAATCAGATTAAGGAAATAATTTGATATTCTCATCTAGTTAAAAACTTCCTGAATCTAAATGAATCTGATCCTCCTCAGTTGGTCACAGACTGCCACTGTTTATGTTTATATATCAGTGAAATATATGTGACATGTATACCAGATCATTTACTGATACAGTTCCTTGTTCTAATGTTACCTGTGTGTGATGAAACATCTGTCTACGTGTCACTTTCTACCGTTTTTTTTAGACACTATGCTTCTCTTTATCCCCTGAATACTTGCATTTATATCTTGATCGCTTTGCTACATAGCTCTGATTTCATCACGAAAGGATTGAAAGATTTTCATATTGATTGCTGTTGTTGTTGTTTCTGTTGTGTGTTCTAACTTCCACTCCTCCACTGCTACAGGCGTTTCGAGCCAGAGACGAGGCCCAGCACCATTTCTCCCAGAGTCTCATCGACAAGGACAAATATCGTAAACAGATCAGAGAGCTGGAGGAGAGGAGCGACGAACTCCAGATCGAGATCGTACGCAAAGAAGCCCGTCTGATCACTCTGGAGTCTCGCCTACGACGGCTGGCCAAGGACATCGTTTTGGACCAGGTGAGACACGGTGGAGAATAATAAATGCATCACTGGAACTTGCAATATTTCCGTTTTTGTGAATATTTCAATGCCATTTTCCTATTTTGTTTTTGCAGAGTCTGCCGAGGGACATGCCTCCGACCATTATTTCTCAGGCGGGGGATTATAAACCCAGCCAATCAGAGTGGTCGAGCGATGAATCCCATGAGGGGAAGTTTCCATCGGAGGAGCCTCGCCTGAAACGCAGACCCAACCTAAAAGCAGTCAGTCACTACACATTATTCACACCTTGTTACTTCTTTTAAAACAAATGTATTGGACATTATAGCAGACACCATTGCCTGTTTTGAGCAACCTACTTCAGACACAGCTAAGTGGTAACGATGCTCTTACTTATGACCAAAACACACATTTAGCTACTAACTCATCAAAAGGTCGCCTAATCGTTTCAGCTCTAGCTTGTAAACAGATGATATCGTTATATTTTTAAGAAGCGTACTTTTTTTTTAACAGTAGCTTTCATGTTTTCTTTATATTTTAGAACAGAGTAAAGTCTCCAGTCTGTTTTCCCAGAGAAGTCAACTATGAGGCCTCTCAATCTGCAGGTAACACATGATCCTAAAGTTCATTCATAAATGTTTTTCTACTCCACCATAACAGTAACGTTTGTTTACGCAAGTTTATTTTAATTTCTCTCCACCTTCCATCTCTGTCAGCCAACGGAGGAGATTTACTGGATATCCAGATGCGAAACTATAATTCCAACAGCGTGTCCCTCCCTGGGTCCCCCTCGTATCCTCCCTTCTCAGCCACCTCCCTCTCCTGCTCCCCTTCCCCCTATCCTCTCACCTTGAGTATGGACCATTTCAACAGACCAAACATGGTGAGCTTTACAGACATCACTATAGTCCTATATCATAGGTTAAAGAGGCCCTATTATACTATTTTTGGGTTTTCCTTTTCCTGTAGTGTGATATATAGGTTTTTTGTGCATGTGAATAGTCTGCAAAGGCTAAAATCCATAAGTTTCTCTCCCTCACTCTGCCTGAAACGCCTCCATTGGACTCCTTGGTTTTCTTCCGTAACCCAATGCCATCACTATCTGTCACTTGAGCTTCTATTAGCTAGCGCTCCAACACATTGTACATGATAGATTAAGGGGCGGGACATCTATAAGCGGTTGACCAATGACAACAGAGCCGGCCAGCCGACCAATCAGAGCAGACTGGGCTCTGGTTTCAGACAGAGGGTGAAAAGAGGTGCTGCAGCACAGGCAGTATGAGAAAAATAAAGAGCTTTTTGAACATTAAAGCATGGAGACATGTCCCAGTAGAGACACAACATACTGATATACACCTGAACATCAGCAGGAGAGGACTCTTTAAAGTAGAGACACTACATACTGATATGAACCTGAACATCAGCAGGAGAGGACTCTTTAAAGTAGAGACACTACATACTGATATACACCTGAACATCAGCAGGAGAGGACTCTTTAAAGTAGAGACACTACATACTGATATACACCTGAACATCAGCAGGAGAGGACTCTTTAAAGTAGAGACACTACATACTGATATACACCTGAACATCAGCAGGAGAGGACTCTTTAAAGTAGAGACACTACATATTGATATACACCTGAACATCAGCAGGAGAGGACTCTTTAAAGTAGAGACACTACATACTGATTTACACCCTGAACATCAGCAGGAGAGGACTCTTTAAAGTAGAGACACTACATACTGATATGAACCTGAACATCAGCAGGAGAGGACTCTTTAAAGTAGAGACACTACATACTGATATACACCTGAACATCAGCAGGTGAGGACTCTTTAAAGTAGAGACACTACATACTGATATACACCTGAACATCAGCAGGAGAGGACTCTTTAAAGTAGAGACACTACATACTGATATACACCTGAACATCAGCAGGAGAGGACTCTTTAAAGTAGAGACACTACATACAAATATGAACCTGGACATGAGTGTAATAGAACTTTCTCAAAGTCCATTTGACTTCTCAGTCTCAGTTTGGATTTTCTGCTTTGTTCACTTGTTAAATCTCCAGCTGCGTTACCGTAACCAGAGCATCCAGTCCACGCTGCCTGAGCCTCCGGAGAAAGCATCGCTCTATCGCCGAGAGAGGGAGAAGGAAAACGACTTCAACCCCCGCAGGTAGTCACTCAGGATTATCAGCTAATCTATGCTGTTTAATAAATATAGATGCTTATGTGCAACTCTTATTTCATCCTTTTTATAAATCTGTGCTGGTTTGTACTTCATTTCCTGTTATGAATGGCTTCAAAGTATACTGATGCTTGTTCTCTTTTAGCCTCTCGGACTTTGATAGTGACACCATGGAGTTTGGTAAAGAATACTTTTACACATTACCCAATATCACACTAATGACATTTCTGTACTGAGGGACAGTTTTTTATTAACTTTCTGTCTCTCCATCCCTTCCTTAGAGGACGAAGCACCTTCTGTCCACTCGTCTTCCTCGTCCCATCAGTCAGAAGGGATGGACTCGTACGACCTGGAGCAGGTCAACAACATCTTCAGGAAACTCTCTCTGGAGCGGTACAGTACAAACAATCATTATACATGTATTCACACAAACTACTCACACATCTTCTTTGTTCTTTGTGTTCTTGTTGTTGTTCTTCTCCTTCTTCATCATGTTCTTCTTCTTCTTCTTCTTCTTCTTCCAGGCCGTTTCGTCCGTCTCTCTCTTCCTTCTCGAGGATCAGTGGCTCTCTGAAGCCGGTGCAGGAGTTATCTCTGCCCGGCGACAACCTGCTGAAGGACATCACTTTGGTCGGTGGAAACGACAGCGGGATATTCATCTCACATGTCCAGTCGGACTCCATCGCGGAGAAGGCGGGGCTCCGGGAGGGCCACCACATCCTGATGGTACGTAGGTTACTCCTGCATTCAAAGATTCAAAGGTTTTATTGTCATATGCACAAAGCTACAGTGTAGAAATGGCAATGAAATTCTGATGACCTGAGCTCCTCCAACAATGCAAGATATATAATAAAATATAAAAACACAAAATAAAAAGTAGTGCAAAAAGTCTATATACATGTCAATAGAATATGGTACGATATGTACAAGAACAGAATATGAAATTAAATAATGTAAATTAAGACAAAATTATTACACCACCAAGGTTCACACAGGGCTTTTAACAGGGTCGTTGTTAGATGAGTATTTACATTTTGGCCCATTAAAACTGGCTGTACAAATAGAAAAGCACCAATGAGAACGTACAGTAGACTTTTGACAAAAGTTCAATTAAGTGTACAAGTCTCAGAGGCCAAAGCTAAATGTAAAAAATACATTTCTACCATCATTTATCGTTAAATGTTTTTATTTTAGATTCATTTTAGTTTTTCGTGTTTCTTGATTCAATTATTTGTTTTTTTACTTCAAATATAATGTCACGATTACCATTGCCAACATCTTGCAATTCATAATTTCATCAAAATTATGTTTAAAATATGCTTAAAAACTCTAAAAACAAACAAATATGTTCTTATTCCAGACAGAACTACACAGCTTCTTTCTCAGACAGAAACGTGAATGCTTTAATCTGTTATTTATTTATCTTTCTTGTGTTTGATTGGCGTATCAGCTTGAGGGATGCATACGTGAGGAGAACCAAAGCATTTCATTGGACACCAGTACTCAGGAAGAAGCTCATTGGACGCTGCAGCACTGCTCCGGACCCGTCAAGCTGCACTATCGAGCCAACTTTGACTGTAAGTGATGTTTTTTTCAGACTTGTGTTTGTGTAGTATTCAATATACAGTGTATTTAAAGGTCACCTATTATGCAAAATCCACTTTTTCACGTCTTGTCTACATAAACATGTGTCCCCTCTGTGTAAAGAGATTCTGGAAGTTTCAGGAACAAAGATTCTCTCTCTTTTTGTCCTGATCCATTTATATAAAAACCTGTCTGAAAATGAGCTGATCAGATTTCGGCCACTTTATGATGTCATAACGAGCCAATCACCAACCAAGGTAACCCCCCCCCCCCCCCCCCCTTATCACCTGAATCTCCTCCTAGAGCACCATTGTGTTCTTTTTAACCAAATATCTCTCAGAGGGGCGTGGGGAGGGGCTCCTTATTATCTAAAGTAACAGACAGAGAATCAGCACTTTTGAAACAGGGCTGAAACAGAGGGGATTATGGGTAATGCTGCAATGATCTGTTTGGTGTTTGGAGCCAAACACTTCAGAGACATGTTCTGTATATATCTGAGACCTATAACATATTGATGAAAAACAGTATAATAGGGGACCTTTAAATTCAAACGTGTGTGTTCTAGCCTACCGTCGCCTTCAGAGTAACCTGGCTGAAGGCCCGATGGTTTCCGGCGACTCGTTCTACATCCGGGTCAACCTCAGCATCTCGGGCCAGGCGGACAACTGCTCTCTGAGCATGCGCTGTGACGAGGTGGTGCACGTGCTGGACACCCGGCACCTGGGCCGCTGCGAGTGGCTGTGCGCTCAGGTCGACCCGTACAGCGGCCTGGACCTGGCCGAGCGGGGAACCATACCCAGCAACTCACGGTACGGAGAAGGTCTCTCAAGTTCTCTTGTGGTTAAGCTTTTCAAGGCTTTCATTGTCATATGTACATAGCTACAGTGTAGTTATGACAATGAACATCTTAGGTCACAGGCTCCTCCAACAGTGCAACACAATAAAACAGATAAAATAGTGCAAGTAAATACAAAACAATAGAATATAATAATGCAGAATTAAGAAAAGTTAAGTTAAATTCTCCTTAATCTAAGAGGCATTCTGATGTTTAAGGTCAACTTTGGGGTTTTTCAAACTGGTTCAAAGTGATTTATCTGTTTCTTTTGTATAATTTTTCTTTTTTTAACAGGATGAGTGAGGGTAAAATTACATTACATTCAAGATTTCATGACACCAAGAAATGAATTGGCAACACAATTTGACTTAAATGAGATAGTACCAATTAATACTAGTTTTTTCAAAACAAACAAACACTGACCAAACCTCCCCTCACCCCTCCCACATGCCTCCCTTCCCAAAATGACACAAACAGACACACTCACACACACACACACACGCGCACGCACACACGCACACACACACACACACGCACACACACACACACACACACACACACACACACACACGCTTGAGATGTGTAAGCGTTCCCCAATGTGTCCGGATTGTGGGTGGTCCTGTGGCTCATCTCCTCTACAGAGCCTCGTAAATTGTGTTCCATATTATGTTGAATTGTTCTTCCTCGCTACTGTCTATTGACCCTAAGTGATTTATCAGGGAGCTCTTGAACTGTCTACAATGTAATCGCTGCAGTATCAATCCACAAAGGTGCCTGTATTTGCATCTTAAAAGCTCATATTGTTGTTCATTTTGGAAGGACCCTTGCGAGAAAAAGATTTTGTTTGACTTTTTAGTTGTTGTGTGTAACAAGGTCTTGCTCAATAAGTTCCGTTTTGAAATCACTCATTGCATCCATATTGTGGAAGTCCGCTGAAATACTGAGTATGGTTAAGCTGATTGTAATAATGGAAAAAAAAACAAGATCTGAAAATGATGCTTCTTCAAAAGCAGAGAGGCAAGATCAAGTACAAATTAAATCAAAACGTTTTTATTCCTAACAATCTGAGCGTGTCAGGGGCAAAAACAGCACTTCTGTTGTATGTCACCGTTTAACACCAAGAGTTAGATAAAACCTTTCGTTTCGTATTCAAGCACATGTTACAAACCAGGGTGGTGTAATAAACCATTGCAATGCTAAAGTAATTGAGTATCAGACATCTGTTCTGCTCTAGTACAGTACAGGATCTTGAGCAAACGTAACAGATGAGCAACCATGCAAAGTTTAGGAGGGGCCTTTAGTGGGCTACACCTGCAGAATGTAAAGTTTCACTAATTACAATACACACACACACACACACACACACACACACACACACACACACACACACACACACACACACGCACACACACACACACACGCGCGTGCACACGCACACACACGCACACACACACACACACACACACGCACACACACGCACGCACACACACACACACGCACACACACGCACACGCACCCACACACACACGCACACACACGCACACACAGACAGACACACACGCACGCATGCACGCACGCACGCACGCACACACACACACACACACACACACACACACCTACACACCTACACACACACACACACACCTACACACACACACACACACACACACACACACACACACACACACACACACATCTACGAGTCTCAAACTCCCTCTCAATGCTGTGCGTGTGCGTGTGAATGTAGGGCCCAGCAGCTGCTTCTGGTAAAGATCCAGAAGCTGGTGTGTCGAGGGGGAAAGGAAGAGAATGAAATCCAGCGCAACAGTAAGGTAAGAAATAACCTTTATTTAAGTAAAAACAATATACACATATATTTCAATATATGGCATTAATATCTCAAATGAGTTAATTTGTAGACTAATTTACAGCCAGAAGAAGTGAGCCCGTCGTCTGATCCTAAAGCCATTCCACGAGTTTCTAGAGCCAGCATCTTCCTCACACAGATACTACAGGTACTGCAGTTGAGATATACAAAAGGAAAAACAGTTTGGTCTCTTAAGGATCAAATGTCTTGAACAATGAATAGTCTCACTGCTGTGTTCTATAATACTTGTCCGTGTCTGTTTTGATTTGCAGTTTGTGAGCAGGGTGGATATCAAGTATAAGCGAATGAACAGCAGTGAGAGAGTGAGGATCATCAACTGCTCAGGCAGCTCAACGGTACCCAGACAGGGTTATGAAGCGCTGAGACCAGAAGGTGAGTACAAACTGATCCAGGAGGAACACAACTCAGCACGAGCAACGAAAAACACAAATAAATGTTTTTTTTAGATATACTCTACATACAGTACGTTGACTCCCTTTTGGAGCCACCCCCAATTGGCCGTTAAGGGCACTGCAGTGTTTGTTACTTCCATATGGCTTTCATTTTTCACAGGGGAAAATTGGCACTTGGTTGAAATATATACATTTAAAAAAACCTAGCTCGTAGACTTTAAGCCAGGCTACATTTTCTCTCTGTCGACCCTCATGTGTACCTCTTGTAGGAGCCATTTAGCACTCATGATATTAGTAAGAAACAATGTCTGTTTAAATACAGAGGTTGCGGTGTTAAGTATAACAGTTTTTGACCTCACACACAGAAGTAACTTTTCTGAAGATAAGTTATCGTGTTTCTGAGTGTCACATTTGTACGGGTACTGAAAAGATGATTTGTGTTAATGGGCAAACAGTCTTACAATAAATAAATTGACTTTGTTTATTTGGAAACTTTCACATGGGACCTTTTATTCATCAGACACATTTTATTAGTGTGTCAATCACATCAACAAAGTGGCACCTCAGTGGCTCAAAGCTTTATTTTAGTCTATACAGGTCTTCTATTCTATTTCTATTCTATTTTATTATTTCTATTACTTGCACTATTTTAACTATTTTGTCTGTTTTATTATGTTGCACCGTTGGAGGAGCCTGTGACCTAAGATTTTCATTGACATATCTACACTGTAGCTGTAGGAGCCAAAACTTTTATTTGTTTGTTGAGCACTTCCGGTAATTGTCACATGGGTGTGGTTTGTGTATACAGTATAGGTCACCTGTTTCATGTCGAGTGCGGATGACAGAGGGTCAGCTTGTGCTGTCATTTTTTTTGTTGACCGTTTTGTCCCTATAGTTACTGTGCTTTGATTTTGTTTATTAAATATCGTCAAACTATCTTGCTTCAGTATGGACTTTCTCTTTGAAAACGCGTCACAGCTTATAGCAAAGCTTAGCCTATCGGCGACTCAAACTGAACTGGAAATTGAGCCGCCACAGTAGCTATGTACAAATGACAATAAAAGCCTTGAATCTTGAGTCTTGAATCTTGTGTGTGTGTGTGTGTGCTAACAGACGCTGCGGACCCGGACAGCGAGCTGAGCCGGGGTCTGAACCTGATCCCCTACAGCACCGTCACCCCCCAGCGGACCCAGAGGAGGAGGCCCGTCCTCTTCACTCCCACCGCTCTGGCACAAACCATCATCCAGAAAATACTCAACAGTGGGGGAGCCATGGACTATCATACCTGCAAACCAGGTCAGTGTAAGATGGGAATAAATGTACTGTAAAACATGTCATCTCAGTGTTTTCATAAGGAAGGTTCCCATCTGGTTGGTGTATTCCCAATGTGTCCAACTATTGTGAGTCAAAGATGGCGGAGATAGTGGATAAGAAGAGTAGAAAAGGGGGGAGAAGAAAGCTATACTATAATATCTGCAAACCAGGTCAGTGTGTGATGGGAATAAACACGCACATTTCAAAGTCAATAGTCAAAGTCAACTTTATTGCCAATCTTTCAGTTTGTGTGTACAGACAGAGAGATCGAAATACCGTTTCCCACAATCACGAATACAAAAGTACAAATATGTATACAAATATGTATATAATATGTATATCCTATATATACACAATCAACAGAGACATTTATACATATGCACACATTAAGATAAAAACACAACAATCAATATATACAAAATAACAGTCACTTCCATATATTTGGGAATGTACATTAGTGCAAGATTGTCCATAGCAGCGTAAAAAGTGTCTGGTGCTGGATTTGAGTTGTCCAGTGTGGGCAGGGGGGAGAGGGGGGAGAGGGTACATTTACTGCAAAACATGTCATCTCAAAGTCTTCATAAGGAAGGTTTCCGTCTGGTTGGTGTATGTGTCCAACTATTGTGAGTCAAAGATCGGGGAGATAGTGGATAAGGAGAGTAGAAAGGGCGGGGAGAAGAAAGCTACTATCAGGATTTGGGTCAGGTATTGTACTACACTGTGTTAATGTTAATAAGTGAAACCAGAGAGACGGGGGGCAGGAAGAAAGATGGCCCAGTTGATAACTAGGATGATGCTAATGATGACATCAACACACTGGGGTTTATAGCCTCATTTATCTTCATTTAGCGATACAGAGAGTAACACAGTGGGGTCGGACTAAATGCTGGGTCACAGTCTAACATCTGGCAAGACAATGGACTGTCATGTCTTGGTTTAGTTGAGATTCCCTCAAAAACCTCAGCCGTTTCTGTTCCTTCTGTATTAAATGGGTTGTGACTATTAAAATACATTTAACAGTTTCTGCTTTAAAAAAGATACTTATAACTTTCCATACTATTGTATTACCTTCTTGTCACAGCACAAGGACAGAATAACAACCAAAGTACGACTCAACAAAAGGTGCAAAAATCAAGTCTAAATGTACCAAAGTAGAACAAGGATACAAAAATCCAGTTTGTCTCCCACCTGGTTTCAGACAGAGGGTGAAAAGAGGACAGGCAGTATGAGACAAATAAAGAGCTTTTTGCACATTAAAGCATGGAGACATGTCCCAGTAGAGACACTACATACTGATATGAACCTGAAAATGAGCAGAATGTGTCCTCTTTAAGTAAAAGAAGGCATACTCAAAACCATGACATTTCTTTTGTTTAGACACCCTGTCCAAAGAAGAGTTTCATCTGAAACAGAACGTGGAGCCCTTCATTCACTACAAAGAGAAACAAGCCACGTTTGAATGCATCACCCGAGAAAACATAGAGGCTGTCGCATCTAAGGTAGGCTGTTTTTGACAAATGTGTGTGTGTTTGTGTGTGTGTGAACACCATAGACTGTACGTCATGTCTCGTCTTCCTCCCACTGAAAAATATACCGGGTACAGGAGCTGCCATTTTGAGATGTTGACATCACACACGTTAATCCCATGCCTAGCAAGAACAGATTTTTCTGTCGATGTTTAGATTAGCACTTTTGCCAATGCTGATGATTTTCTTTTTTACTTTTGCGATGTTAGTTATCCTCTTTTTTTTCTGCCAGGGAAACAAACACATTTATTATTATAAAATAAATATGAACTGTCTTTCAGGAATTCATCATGCTAACTTTGAATGACCACAAATTCCTACGTTTGTTACAAAAGCCTCTTTGGCCTGCTATATAGTTACCAATTAAAGAAAATATTTATGTAGGCTGTCAAAGGGGACTTTCTCGTTGTTATGATACCACTATTTACTTTCTAAATCTGTGTTGAGTGTTTATCTATGTTTTCAATCATGCCACACACGTGTCTCATTTCAATCAGGAGAGACGGTTTTGATGTAAGAATATTTATTGCAGAGATACACAAATGAATGTAATGGTGATTCTGGCGATTAGGCCCCGTTGCGCAGGAGTATCATTCGGGAGGGTAGAACCGATCCGATGAAACCCCCTGGGGTCTAGACACTGGTGGTGGTGAATGGATAGTTGGGTCGGTCTGAAGGGGAGGGGCTTAGCTTGACCCTGGTGGTGGTGAATGGATAGTTGGATCGGTCTGAAGGGGAGGGGCTTAGCTTGACCCTGGTGGTGGTGAATGGATAGTTGGATCGGTCTGAAGGGGAGGGGCTTAGCTTGACCCTGGTGGTGGTGAATGGATAGTTGGGTCGGTCTGAAGGGGAGGGGCTTAGCTTGACCCTGGATTCAGAGGGACAGGAGGTGATAAGGTGTGGAGGAGGGTTGCGTAGAGTCACCTGAAATGACAGCTGTCAGAGGGGGGAGAGCAGACTTAAAAGGTTTGGCAGAGCGCTATGGTAGGCTCTTGGGAATAGAGCGAAGTGATTGGTTAAGCTGGAGAGTGACGCCCCCGATCACTTATTGAGAGGAGAGAGAGTAGATACATGGGAATAGTACATGAAGAGTAAAGACGGTCTTCCTGGTTGAACTTACGCTGAGCTTCATGTCACAGTATAGATCTGTATTTATCTTTGAAACCCATTTTCTCCCACCAGGGGAAACACTGCCTGCTGGAGGCGGAGCTGAGCTGCGTCAAAGATCTCCTGCGTAGAGAAATCTACCCGATCATCATCTACGTCAAGATCTGTGATAAAAATGTCAAGAAGTTACGGTAAGCCCGACAAACCTCAGTCTTTGTCACATATTTACCCACAAATCCAAACCACATCCTTTTTTCCTAAGGCCAGCACGTCACTTCTTTCATGACACTTTACCGCCAAGGGGGAGAAAGTCCTCTTTTTTCAGCTCTTAAACTAAGAAATGATGTTAAACTGCAAAACCAGTTGGGAATTATTGTACTTTTAAGTAAAAGTCAGAGGGAAATATTTATATTTATATATGTATCTGCTGTAGATACTTTGATTTCAAACACAAAATATGATCAATCATCACAGCTCATCATATGATCACAATCATTAGATGAATTATAATAAATGAAAGACCCTCACTGGTCAGTCAGGTAACAGTTGCTTATAACTTACTTATTTTTTATTTTTTTAAGTGTTGCATGGATTTGCTTGAAGGCATCATATATTAGTAAGAATGATAAGGTGAAATATAGTAAACTGCCTCGCAACAAAGCAAGCGAACCAGTGGAGTCATGGAAAACACTTTTTTAATCTGTGTGTACAAATTATTATCTTTGGTGCATATGAAAATCCCACTTCATCCCCTTGAAGACTTTATTGAGCATCTGAAAGAGTACATTTAGTACTTTTAGTTACGTTAAATACCTTGTGCATAATTAGCTTTCGATACTTATGTCCTTTTACTTTAGTAGAATTTCAAATGTAGGACATGCAACCGAATGTTTTTACACTGTGCTGTTGTCACGTTTTCTTATGTAAAGTGAAAACCAGTGTTGTACAGAGATCATGTGCTCCAAACATTACCAACTGCTCACACCGCAGCGCTGCTTCCTTCCTGTTTCCTGTCCACACAGGAAGTTGCCTCTGCGCGTGGAGTCGGAGGACGGGTTCGTGAAGTCGTGTCGGGCCAAAGTGAAGGAACTGGAGGGCGTCCCGTGTCTGTACGGCAGCGTGGAGCCGGAGGCCTGGGCGGGACCCGACGACCTCATCAGGGTCATCAAGGAGCGCATCCTGGAGGAGCAGAAGAAGACCGTGTGGGTGGAGCAGGACCTGCTGTAGACACACACACACAAAACACACAGAAATACACAAAATAACACACACACAGATACACAACAACTGTCTGTACACGACAATAGACATGTGTAGCTGAGCCCTATGGAAGCCCATAGGGGACTTTATTCAAATGATGCTTTTAGACTGTTTTAGACTGTTTGTCTGACTGTTGTTTGTTTTACTCTTGTTTTTCTGTTAAGTGAACTTGGGTCCCCTGAAAGGCGTTAAGTTATTATTATTATAATTTTTATTAAACCTGAAAAATTAAATCACTTTTTTTTTTTATTGGATTTTCTTTTTTTATGTAATTTGAAAATAATTCGTTAGGTTTAAAAGAAAAGAAGATATTTTAAATTGTTTCTTTCCATTTTAGTTTAAATACAGCCACGAAACACCTATATGACTTGGTGAAAATGAAAATGCAAATTGGATTTTCATTTTCCTAATGACTAAAATAACCACCATATAATGCTTTTTTAGAATTTATATATTTATTTATAGAATTTCATTTTCCTTTTTCAAGTTTCTTTTTCAGTTTGAATAAAGTCCTCTATGAGCTTCTATATAGAACCATAAAAACTCCCTTGTACATCGTGCTTTTATACATACATATTTATGCTCAGAAACGCACGTGTGGACACTCGCAGTGCAGTAGACTTCAAATAAATGCATTATATATTTTGTAAATGTGTGTCTTTACCTTGATTTAGAATAAATAAATAAAAGGAAAACATTTAAAAGGGTTATTGTTTTAATTTAATGTGGAGAATTTAAAAGGGGAAGTGTTCAAAGTGCACGTGTGTGTTTCAATTTCAGTGTGATCCGACTCAAATGTGATTATACTGTCCTCTGGTGGCAGATTTTAGGCTTTCACACTTTAAAGATTTAAGTCACTTCAAATTAAATCACATCAACCTTGTATTTATTTATATAGGACATATTTTAGTTATAGCACATTTGGTATGCATTGCTTGTCCTGAAAATGTACAGAAATAGGAATGTTACATAACCTCATAAGTCGTTCGCATTTGAATACATTTAAACCTCACATTTACAAAAAAAAGGACAGAATGACTTCACCCCGTATTAGGCAACAGGAAACTATGACTCACAGGTTTATTAATAATGTCTGAGCTTTAATTTTGTTTAAAAAAAAAGCCAAGAGATGCAAGGCAAGCAGATATTTTTTAAATGCCGTTTTCTCTACATAGAGAGAAGATTCACCCCTTTATCTTAACAACAACAAACAACAACAAACAGTAAGATGCTACTATATAATAATGTTAAGGAGGGATTAGGGGTTGGCATGAATAGAAGTCATCTTGACACCTTGCAACTTATTTAAAATAAACACATTATATTTAGGGGCACCAAATTGACCAACACAAGATTCAAAATAAAGAATAACACATTGGATAAAAGTTTGTTGAACATGTTTTGCATATTAAGGATCATGATCTTTATACATTAGTTTTATAAAATCATGAATTACCCCTTTATCTAAAGCAGGGGTGTCAAACTCAAATACACAGTGGGCCAAAATTAAAAAATGGGTACTATAGTCGAGGGCCGGACTGGTTCAATGTTTATTGCTAAACTTATTGAAATGAACTTATTGCACATATTAAACCTGGAACTAACAAAGCTGAAATGATTGCCTATAAAAACAACATTAAACATTAAATAATCAGTTGCATTCATTTCTTATGGCTCTATCTGCAGCTTTTCCAGAGTCATTTCTTATGATTACATTTTTCCACAGGCCAACAACAGCTTCAACAAAACTATTCCCCTCAAAGAAAAAACCAAACATGCCCTGTTGTCTCAAGAAACAAAGTGCAGAAGGAAACATCCATGTAAACTCAGTGTGCTGCTCTGTGATGCTAGTTCAAGCCAGATACTTGGCATCTCATCTTGGGTGCAAGTTCATCAATGTTTGGGCTCAGGCTCTGAGCTGAGGAAACCCTCAGGATTGAGTGAAGGTGTGCGTGCAATATACCGGCGGGCCAGATCTAATAGTAATTACAAATGATCCTGCGGGCCGAAATTAAATCCACCAAGGGCCTGATTTGGCCCCCGGGCCTTGAGTTTGACACATGTGCTCTAAAGACTACTCTTTACTTTTTGCATTGATCCTATTGATTGTAAATACTGTATTTCATCCAAAAAACGTGTTATTTTATGTTTTAAATAAGCTATAAGTCAACTCAAATACTGAAAGTGTATTGACTTTTTAAACTCAGCTGTGAAATGTAATCAGTTTATTCAAAACTCCTTTATATCTGAAACAAAGACTCGCGATTTCTGGGTTTATCCAGCAGTATCATCCATAACTCACTGAACCGTATGGCTATAGTCACTTTGTTGATTCCTGCAGCTTATAAATCTATTTTTAGAAAGATGTTTTTTCAAAGCCATAACCACCAGATGGTTCAAATTGAGTGAAACGGGCTGGCCAGCGGGGGATTAAGAATAACCTGTTTGTGGTAGATAATCTCTGCATCTGTGAGGAAATACATGCATACAGCGATGTGAACACTCATAACTGCAACACACTGCGTATCAGAAACACTGTATAAGCCTTACTTTAGTCAATATAGACACAAGGGCTAATATGTATACTCCTTTGAATATACTTTCACACTTTTGTATGGTACAATGTCATAGTCATTATCGTCAAATAATAAAATATATAAAAGTAAAAATGTAATATGATTATAAACATGATAAATATGTCCGTTATCTTTTGTAAATTATGCTGTGAAAAAATTATCTTGATGGCACCTTCTCTTCCTTCTGTTAAGATTGCTTTCTTATCTGATGTGCTCATGCTGTGTTCATGCTGTGTGTGTGTGCGTGTGTGTGTGTGTGTGTGTGTGTGTGTGTGTGTGTGTGTGTGTGTGTGTGTGTGTGTGTGTGTGTGCGTGTGTGTGTGTGTGTGTGTGTGTGTGTGTGTGTTCAGAGTATAATTGATGCCAGGGTACAGAGTTATATTAGGCAAATAAGGAGAGGGGTGCAATTGTGACGCTGATTGGATGCAGATTATGATGATCTCTCTGTGTGTGTGTGTGTGTGTGTGTGTGTGTGTGTGTGTGTGTGTGTGTGTATGTGTGTGTGTGTGTGTGTGTGTGTGTGTGTGTGTGTGTGTGTGTGTGTGTGTGTGTGTGTGTGTGTGTGTGTGTGTGTGTGTGTGTGGTGGGTGCAAAATGAATCAGCTGCTCTGTAGGGGCTCCTTGCTGTGTTTGATGTCACAGGATGAAAAGAGTTCACAAATAACAGGATTGTAACCGCCTGCTCAGCCTGAGGCCACAGAAATAGACGCAGATCCCCCACAGCAACATTTCCTAATTATAATTCCTTAGTCTGATTTTTTCTCAGTGAAGATGACATTTGTTTTTGCAGGTACAGCAGGTTATTTTCAGCACGTTGCTCATATTGGAAGACAGGGGGAGAAAGGGAGGAGGAGGGAGGGGTTGGGAGACTGTCTACATAAATCATCTCTGACTCTGAGACATGCTCTGTTGGAGCTGACCCAGAAAAGGGATTTTTTTCCCCCTCATGAGCTCACTCTGCAGAAACATTAAGTACCAACTCTCGCGATACTCTACTTGATCCCGCTCCATCTCCCTGGAAAAAACGGGCACTCGTCTCGCATCACAGGCAGCTGACGCGGCGCTGGGTGCTCACACAAAAAGAGGTGAGGAGGTTTTTAACTTAAATACTAACAAGAAATATGAAAAGTAATTTAACATGTTGCCTATTTTAGTTGTTTTGCACGTGCTCTTTGACTGTGCACTACTTTGATACACGGCTACATTAAACCCACGGCTGCACGTCAGGAATCTCGTTGTTTTCTTGGATGCTCTGTATTATCTCCACGTAAATGTGACTAAAAAGCTCCACATGCAGAGAGCGTCGAACAGCCCGTTCCCGCGGTGCTGCTGCCCGTCAAAGCCGACATTGTGTCCGGGTCTGCTGCGGACCTGCCGGGGAGATTTATCTGTTCTGTCCGGTGAGCACAGCCTGCTGCTCGGCTGCTTTTTTACCGCTTTTCCTCCTGTATGTTGAGGTGGAGATGAACAGAACAAGCATGGACGAGTTATGAGGGAAATAACCAAGGGGAAAACAGATTATTAATAGCCTGCAACAAGACTTTGAATTATATTTGAGACTTGTTGACATGGTGTTGGCACTGCGAGTGTAGGAAACATACCGAAAAAATTATGGAAACACGGAAAAAATGGTTTAAAGGTTTATTTTCCATTTACAATTGAATTAAAAAAACGGCAACTGCTTTCCACATTGTATATTGTATATAGTGTCCTCCTATGTTCATATTTTTAGCAGTAGGTTGGTCTAATATAGTGTCAGATTCAACATATTGTATTCTATAGCTACTATAGAGATATCTTTATACTGTTGATTTGTTTGGTTGTTTTTTATTCTATTTTTAACTCATGTTCAATAGCATGCTAACATGCTGCAGTCAAAACACAGTTTTTTCAATTTGGGATTAGTAAATCTAATCTAGTCTAATATCCCTTGATATTGATCATGGTTACTTATAATCAACTCATTCATATGTCAGTACATTTCCAATGGTTGGTCGAGGTGTAGCATTTTTTACTTCTACAATATAAGTATTACAGCTTTTTCAAATTTCTTATCACTATAAACTAGGGGTGTAACGGTATTCGTCCCGTACCGTCATGGTTCGGACGTCACGGTTCGGTGCATGCAGTCACACCACGAATACGCCTTTTTTTTTTACGAGTGGGAAAAAAAGTCTGTCACTTAGGGCAGTATCCATTACACTATATATAATCCAAGGGGCGGTATTGCGCCTAAAAGCTGTTTGCCAGCTGCCCTTAAACAACAAATGAAGAAGAAGAAGAAAACACAACAAAACGAATAAAATACAAGAAGAAGAAAAGTTGCATAATTTGACACAACACCGGCGTTGTTCGACAGCGGTGCGGTATGCTAATGGTAACACAAGCCAAACATGCTAAATCATATCAGAAGGCATCACCCAGATTTGGCAATCACCGGAGCCCGGCAAAAGACAACAGCAGTTCAACAGCTTATCCCCTCTGTTTTTAAGAAGCCAATAGACATGAAAGCCGAGAGACCAAAATAAATAACAGAAGCTTTTGGCATATGTTTTTCAACGGCTATGCTGCGCCCTTATGCAATAGTAGACTAGAGAACACAGATGCTGTGGGTCATTGTGCAATCATTACCTGGGAGGAGTCATATTTCAAGGAAAAACAATCACCAAAGCCAAATGAGTCCACGCATCATGTGTGTGTATGGGTGTGATTGTTTTTCTCAGTTCTGTGGAAGTCACACCCCCTGACAGGGTGACAGTTTCATTGGAAGAACATTGAGAAAGAATTATGGTGCAAGAAGTAAAAAAAGCAGGAATACACACACACGTTCACTCTCACACACACCGCCAGGACTACCTGACAGGACATGTAAACACTTCTCACACACGCTGTCTCTAACACTGTTTCTCACGTCACCCCCCCCCTCCACACACACACACACGCACACACACACACACACACACACACACACACACACACTGCCCCCCCATGATAGTTGCTGCAGCATTTGAAAACCTTTGATCACATACAGTCAGTGGCGGCTGGTGGAAAATATTTTAGGTGGGGCTGTGGAAATGGTGATCAAACAATACTAGGGGGCATTTTTTTGAGAAAAGACCCCCTAAATTATGACTTCTGGTGATGTTAGAGGGGGGGGGGAAGGACAATTTGAGGCTTAAAAATATGAGAAGACTGATCAATACCTCCATAACTTGAGTGTGGTTAGCTATGAATCTTCCAAAACTTCCAAACACCTTGTCCTGGACATAGTTTCTACAGCATAAACTGTGCTAACAAGCTGAGATTCCACAGATTCTAGAAATATAAGTATCATCACTGAGCGATCAGAACTCGCGACAGGGGAAGCAAATACAGACATCACACAACGTAGCTTTAGGTAGCAAAACACGGAGATATGCTCACCTTTTGCAGAATAATAATTCTGATCAAAAACAAGAAAAACGCAGCTGAAGGTTAATCCAATGTGTCTGTCACTTTGAAAAATGATTGATGATCCATAATTCAATTTTTATGTCAAAAACTGAGTTTTCATTAGCTGCTAATGGTAGCTTCCAGAGTGTATGACAGCTTCCTGTTTTGTCTCCTTGGATACGAGTCCAAACAACTCACAGACTGCACCGGGCGCTCACGTAGGAGCCCTGTGACCATCAGATTTGACGACGCTGATTGGCTGAAATTATGTTTCGGCGGTTTAAAGATAGCAACAGTTGGCTTCTGCTGCACTTGCTGCACTCTCGTCTGGGCGCTGTGCATAGCGCCCAGACGAGAGGGAGTAATGATACACGGGCAAGGCCAGGCAGGAAACATGTGACTTTAGACATCGTAACACAATTGTAAACGAGATTTTATTGTAGATTATACATTTTACTGATACCAATTATATAATATTTACCTTGTTTATTAAAAATAAAAATAAAAATAAAAAATATATTTTTTAAATATATATATTTTTATTTTTTTTATTTTTAATGTGGGAAGAGGGGGGGCGGCACCCCTAGCGCCCCTATGGGCCGGCCGCCACTGCATACAGTACCAGTCAAAAGTTTGGACACACCTTCTCATTCGAATGTTTTTATTTATTTAGATTATTTTTTACATTGTAGATTAATACCGAAGACATCAAAACTATGAAAAAACATAATATGGAATGATCAACACGTGTATTTCGGTTTATTCACGGCATTCATTTTGTTATTCTTCAGTAGTGTTGTTTTATAGTTATTTGTTAATGTGTATATAACCCAATTTGTGTTCTTTGAAATTGAAAAGGATATTGCATTGTGTTTGTTAGCGCTGTTGACAGGAAGTTGTTGTTGCTATGGAAACAACGTGACGGAGATTAACGGAGAAAAAGTAATATCTACATATAAAGACGGAGAAAGTAAACAATAACGTTTATGGTTAAGTGTTAGCACCCCCCGAAGAGGCACAAGCTCTTACGTTGATATAGGAGTTTTCAATCAATTCAAAAAACGAGAAATAAAACAAAACGAATATCCGAATAACGAAATTGAAACCCGAATAGTACTCCAACGAACGAATATTCGGATATTCGGCTACAGCCCTAATGCTGCGTTCACACCGGACGCGATGCGATGTTTGGGGGCGGCGCGATTACATGTAAAGTCAATGCAGAGATGCGGACAGACGCGAATTCGCTCCGACGGTGCGCATGAAGCGGTGGACGCGGCGCGAATCACCCGATTGAGGCGATTGAACGGTGCCGCGTTAAACGCGAGAGTTCAATTTTTTCAACTCGAGCGTCAAATTCACGTGACGCGTTCTCGCGGAAGCCAATCAGCGGTGAGGATCTCAGACTGCCGTCACTGACGTTCAACCACACAACATCAGCCGTTAGCTGTTAGCAGTTAGCACACAGAGCTCACAGCTCCTCATATCTGTTCAGAAACTGGACAAAAGTTAAACAAGTACAAACCACAGACTGTCTGTGTCATGGTGAATACAGTCGCTGCTTATTTATGTCTGTAAGTCGTTGTTATGAGTGTGGAATGAGCATATACAACGTTAGCTTAGCCTGGTCGACCCGATCTTCATTCAGAAAACAAGCATTTTAAAAGATTTTTCACCTGCCGTCTTGTCTGCAGACTTGTCAAGCATTAATTCATGGTTGTTACTAACCGGTATCAGTATGTTGTTACTTCGGCATCATTTAGAAACGTGTATTACAATTTAATCACGGTAAAATATATTCATTTGTTGTAGTTGTAGCTCCCGAGCCAGCGCGTCTTGTTTGAATGATGCGAGTAAACACAGCTGGCAGCCGCGGTGAAACTCCAGCGATTAGAGCGAAGCGATTAGAGCGAAGCGAATATTCGCATCGCGTCCGGTGTGAACGCAGCATAATATTTTCAAGACATTCTTTTTAGTTTTACAGCTTATTGAACCTTTTTGTTTGACATCAGCCATTATAGATAATATGGCCATCTGAGTGTGTGGTAGCCTACTGTTTGTGGTTTGTTTTGAACTGTGTCATAAAATGTTAGAGTTCCTTATTTTTAAACTGAAACTTGCACTACTGTTCAAAATAAATAAAAAACAAACCTGGAATTATGCATTTGGGACTTTTTTTTTGCTTTTTCTTGTTGTACCAAATCCGTACCGAACCGTGACCCCCAAACCGAGGTACATACCGAACCGTGAATTCTGTGAACCGTTACACCCCTACTATAAACTGAATGAAATATATGGAATTTTGGTCTGTTGGCTGGAAAAAAAGCATCTGAAAGCATCAACTTGCAACAGGCATTTTTATTGCTATTTTTGATAAAAAAAATAATGATTTTTGAAAGTAAATCTCAAAATAATATTGATTGAAAGATCTGCAGTGTTTCCTCTGAATTGTAAGTTCATGCACATACTAGTATGCAGTGAAACTACTCAATTAAAGTACTAGTTCATCTCAATTGTACACAACTAGTACTTCACTTTCAACGTACAGAACATTTCTACCCCTTAAAACGCCTGATTTAATGTTCGTTATGTCACAGCATCGAGCTCATTGGTGTGCAGAGAGGAAGAGGAGCGTAGTCTGCCGCCTCTGGAGAGGGGTATGATGATTTTCCATGTCAATGGTCTCCTCTCAGCTCCAGGAAAGAGGAAATAATATGAGGACTGTTGCACGGAGGCTCAGAATTTAGAAAAAGTGCCAGAATGGAAAAGCGACGCCCTGTGACTTTCACACTGCTCAGAAAGGAGAAAACTGGAGATGAAGTGGGAATTAGGAAACATGGATTGGGGTTTGAGATAAGCCACAGGTAGAACTGGCCATTTATCTGCACCTCTATAAACAAATAAGGCAATTTTCAGCAATGCATGAACACAGTAAGCTTCAGTGTGTTTCGTACATGCAGAGCCTATCTTTAGGTGTATAAAGTGGGGCCTTTATTACCTCAGCTCGAGTATTTTAGTGTGCCGATGCTGTACAGTAATCCATAGGAAGCCTGGTATGGATACAGCGGGATACTTGTGCAGTGCAGCAGTTATTACTTTTTGGTATGCAGAGCCCCCTGGAATGCAAACTTTTGACAAGCACTTGTGATTTTACTGCTGAGAGTGGGAGTAGAGTCGACTCAGAGAGGTGAAGGAGGTTCAGTAAAAATATTTGAAGCCAATAAAATGTCAGCCCTGCCCACGTATTGCTCCAGTTTTCAAGATGTTTTTATTAACAGAGAGCAAGAGCAACCTCACTCTGATATCAGCCTTTCCTTTGTTGTTGTTTCTGCATGATAATCTGCATGCTTTTGAAATCTTGTTTTGTCTGCTCTCCAAAACACTATTGATTTGTTCTCGGTAATTACTGAAACTGAAGCTGTCTGTTTACATTTTTTTACTCATTAAGTTTTACCGGTTAATTGATGCCAAATGTTAAAATCTTTGCTTGGATTGAAGAACAAATTGTGCTAGGTGGTTGGATGTTATGGGGACTGTGAGTTAGTAGTGTGTTGTATAGGATTCTGTGCATGTAAATGGGCTCAAATCCCAGCCTGAAACGCCTCCATTTTACTCACAACAGAGCAGGCTAGCTAACCAATCAGAGCAGACTGGGCTCTGGTTTCAGACAGAGGGTGAAAAGAGGTGCTGCAGCACAGGCAGTATGAGAAAAATGAAGAGCTTTTTGAACATGAAAGCATGGAGACATGTCACAGTACACAAAATACAAAAAATATGAACCTGAAAATGAGCATTGTATGTTATCTATAAATAAAGATGGAATAAATAACTCCTTTCTGTCTTCCTGCAGGCATGGAGCAGAGGTGAGAGTCGACCCATGGATGTCCAGTTTCCTGCAGTGCAGCAGCAGCATGATGATAACAAACCAGCCACAGACTCCATCTTTATATCTATTGCCATGGTGAGAGAGAGCTACTGGACTCTGTTGCTATGGTGACCCTGTAACAATCTGTTGCCCCGGTGACCGCATGAATAAAAGACCCAGGTAACTTACTCCAATCCGCCGCCGCCGCCATGCTGTAGAGAGGCTCCCCCTGTGAAGTCTAACCAGTTGCTATGGTTATCCTGTAGCCAGTAACAGTCGCCATGGGAGATTATAAAGTGTAGTAGCCCACGTCATATTCTTGAAGATTTCTTGAAGATTGATGTACTTTGTTATCCATGTATCATCTGTATACTGACCTGTGTTTATTTACATGCCTATTCATTTGATTGTACACTGTATCTGCCACCTAGACTGACCGTTGTATGTGTGTGTGTAAGCGGTGTCTGCGTTGTGTTTGTGTTGTTCATGGATGAGACCAGAGCCAGCATACAGTCGAGGCGATCTCCGTTTATTGTCTGACAATTTACAACAAATCAGTATTAAATGAGTTATCCCTCACACTGACTCCTCTCACGTGGAACATTTACAAAAAGGGAAGGGGAAACGTGAGGGACACAATAAGAAGGAGGAAATCCCCACAAAAATAGTCTCCTAAATACAGTGAATACATTCTGGAGGTTCCGCCCACTGATTCTAGACCTAGGTATTGAACAATTAATAAATAAAGAATACAGAATTATTAAATACAAAACACAGAATTTGTGTGATTATACTAAATGATTTATAAAGAAATATTTAACACTAAACACCACTGCATATTTATTACAACTTTTACATGTATATATTTGAAAACTTCAATATATATTCAACAGTCGCCATGGGAACTTCCAGGATGTTCCGCATCTTCGTGGTCCTGGGCTCGGTTTTCATGATCCTCCTCATCATCATTTACTGGGACGATGTGGGGGCCTCTCACCTGTACCTGCACACCCCCGTGTCCCCGGGCCCCAGGATCCCCCCCCCCCCCTCCCCCCGCCAGCAGCCTCACACCTCGCGGACGCCATCTTTCCTGTCCGACATCGACGCCTTCGTCAACCAGTTCCTGGAGCCGGGCACCGGAGAACCCACTGATCCCGCCCCCGCCGACTCCGGTAACCAATCAGAGAAGGCCGAGGAGCGGTACATTCCACGGAGGGAGTGGAAGATCCACCTGAGTCCTGTGGCAGCCGAGCTCCGAGAGAGACAGGTGGATATCTGAATTTATCATTATATATCCCAAAGATATTGAAGTGACTGTTATTTTGTATATATTGATTGTTCTGCTTTTTTCTTAATGTGTGCATATGTGTAAATGTGTCTGTTGGTTGTGTATATATAGGATATACATATTTTATACATATTTGTATATATTTTTGTATTCGGGATTGTGGGAAACGGTATTTTGATCTCTCTGTCTGTACACACAAACGGAAAGATTGACAATAAAGTTGACTTATAATAATAATAATAATAATAATACATATAATTTTTAATAACGCTTTTCCTGGTGCTCAAATACGCTTTTCATAGAATCAGAAACAGAAACAGTACAAAGAAAACAAAAAAAACAGAAACAGTAGTCCAAGTGCAAGTAAAGTGTGGTTGTTTCAAGAGTGTTGGCCTTTCAGGTGTGACTGGATTCATGGATTATTAAACGGGGTGGCTGTACCTCGGAGGTTTGGTGCACTGTCTGCAAATAAGGGGGTCAGCAGTTCGATCCCTCCTCCTCCCACCAGCTGCAGTCAAAGTGTCCTCTGCAGGGTGTCCGCGGTGTCTTAAAAAGTATTAAAAGTTGATAAATCAATTTAGCGAAAATTAAGGCTATAAAAAAGTATTAAACGGCATTTTCCAAGGTATTACATTTTGTAGCTTGTTTTCAATAAGTATATAAATTGTCCAAAGAGGTTGTATTCTAAAGTGTGCCTGAATGTAATCATTGCGTTGGATTTGACGTCATCTGAACAGGACATCGCACGCTCACTGCTTGATAGCGCGCGAAGGTCAGTTTACGCCGGTTGTTAAACAACATCGTTATGGGGAAATGCAAGTTTGCGTCCAAATGGTTGGAAGGAAGGACAATCAATACTGTATATAGTAAATGTGAGGTAAAGTTGTGTCGCCAATGTAACCGGTTAAAACTCAAAGTGGCGATGAGGTCTTAAAATGTATGGAAAGGGTCTTAAAAAAGGTCTTAAAAGGTATTACATTTGACTTCACGATTCCTGAAATAACGTAACAAACTAAAAACCAATTGTTCCCAGAGGCAATTGTTACACAGGATGAAGGATACACAGGATATTTAACCCTGTAAAGTGTCTTTGTGTACCATTAAAAAGTGTTCTATAAATAAAATGTAATATTATTATTATTAAGTCCAATGTCCCGGTCAAGAATTTTGTCTATCCAGTTTATTTGGATCTGGTCTGTGAGGCTGGTCGGTAGGGGGTGTGGTGGGGGGGGGTGGTGGTGGATCAGGTCGGTGAGGTAGGGGGGGGGGGTGGTGGTGGATCAGGTGTGAGGTAGGGGGGGGGGTGGTGGTGGATCAGGTCGGTGAGGTAGGGGGGGGGTGTGGTGGTGGATCAGTCGGTGAGGTAGGGGGGGGGGTGTGGGGTGGATCAGTCGGTGAGGGGTGGGGGGGGGGTGTGGTGGTGGATCAGATCGGTGAGGTAGGGGGGGGTGTGGTGGTGGATCAGGTCGGTGAGGTAGGGGTGGGTGTGGTGGTGGATCAGATCGGTAGGGGGGGGGGGGGGTGTGGTGGTGGATCAGTCGGTGAGGTAGGGGGGTGTGGTGGTGGATCAGTCGGTGAGGTAGGGGGGTGTGGTGGTGGATCAGATCGGTGAGGTAGGGGTGGGGGTGTGGTGGTGGATCAGATCGGTAAGGAGGTGGGGGGGTGTGGTGGTGGATCAGGTCGGTGAAGGGGGGGTGGGGGGGGGGGGGGGGGGGTGGTGGTGGATCAGGTCGGTGAGGTGGGGGGGTGTGGTGGTGGATCAGGTCGGTGAGGTAGGGGGGGGGTGTGGTGGTGGATCAGGTCGGTGAGGTAGGGGTGGGTGTGGTGGTGGATCAGGTCGGTGAGGAGGGGGGGGGGGGTGTGGTGGTGGATCAGATCGGTGAGGTAGGGGGGGGGGGCCCTGGTTATTGAGAACTTTGTGTGTTAGCAGAAGGATTTTGAAGTGTATTCGTTGACGGACAGGGAGCCAGTGCAGGTTTTGAAGGACGGGGGTGATGTGGTCTCTGGAGCGGGTGTGGGTGAGGAGGCGGGCAGCGCAGTTCTGGATATATTGCAGTTTATTTAGAATGTTGGATAATGAACCATACAGGATGCTGTTGCAGTAGGCCAGTCTTGAAGTGATGAATGCGTGGATGAGGGTTTCAGCAGCCGGGAAGGAGAGTGAGGGGCGGAGGCGGGCAATGTTTTAAAAAAACCTAATACAGTTAACTAAAATAAGATACTGAATAATTATTAAATTACTATATGCGAAATATAATGTTGTCAAGTAAAAATGTAATATTAAATTGATTAAATAAATACAAAACAATGAATAGCTCCAACAGTACCGTAGTAGTAAATGTTTAATTATTAAAGTTGGCTGGGTTTATTGGATGCATATGAATTGTTCACACTGCAGGGAAGGTTTAAAATGAAATTCATATGCCAGTGATGTACAATCATTAATAGATAATATTTCAGTATTCATAAATAGTATTTAAGTATGCAGGTAAGTCAGCCTGCAGCTCGCTCACTGGCATACTTAAATAGCAACAGAGCCATCATTAATTCCATCTCCAGTCAAAATTATGCCCATGAAAAAAAGCGGCAGCAGGAGGAATGAATACTTACCACTAATAATAAAACCTTTCTGTGCCTCACCAACCCCAGGAGCAGCGGCGGAGATTACTTCAGGAGATGTGCGCCAACGACAGCGTTGTTTTTCCTGGCAAAAACCGCTCCTTTGACGACATTCCCAACAAGGAGCTGGATCACCTCATCGTGGACGACCGGCATGGCATCATCTACTGCTACGTTCCCAAGGTGCGCAAATGCCTGTGTGCTTTGCAAACATTTAATTTATACAACACACAAAAAGTATATTTAAAACTACTTTGCACACTTTATCATTGATATTTCTTACGTTTGTACTGTATTTAATAGTAGTAGGTTTGTCTATTATGGTGTTTTCTCATTTATTTTTGTATTGTGTTCTCTATCGATAGTCTCTATCTTTCTATTGTTAATATGTGTATATTTACTGTTTGTTTTTTTATTTGCAATAATCAGTGTTTCCTTGTTTATTCAGTTTTTATTAATTTCTATTTTATATGAGAATATATGTAAGCCTAAAGCTGAGGGAATGTCTATTCATGTTTTTTGTTGCGTTATGCACAAGTCTATTAATGGGACTTTCTTTTGATTTCAATAATTTAGTTTACCTTTTTTTATAATAAATGTAGGGAATTTTTAACTGGAATTTCTTCAAATGTTACACGCCCTAAAACACTTTCCGGACACGGTTCCCAGTTAGGGTTAGGGTTACCGAAAAACTGACATAATACCACCTATTTCTTCCCACTTTCCGCCCACTCCCCTCTACTAACTGAGTATTTACGTCAGATGTTCCCCGTTCCTCTCTCAGGTGGCGTGCAGTAACTGGAAGCGCATCATGATCGTCCTGAGTGAGAGTCTGCTGCGGGACGGCGTTCCTCAGAGAGACCCGCTCTCCATCCCAAAAGACCTGGTGCACAACAGCAGCATGCACTTCACCTTCAGCAAGTTCTGGAAACGCTACGGCAAGTTCGCTAAGCACCTCATGAAGGTCTGTACAAATAATACACCTGATATCATGCCAGCTTTCATTCATTCTGGGTGATCAGTTTTATTTTTAGAGTAGCGTTTTTTATTTCATTTTTACGTAATTTCAAAAAAGTTGTAAAAGTATAAAAATAAATAAAAAAAGTTAAAATATATTAATTGTTAGGGAATCATTTGCCCCTGTTTATTCTCCGCGCTGGATTTAGCAGCAGAGGTGGGGTTTCGCCGGTCAACATGTCCGTTAAAGTTTAAATCTTCCGGACAAAATTAGAAAAGTGCCGGTCAAAGATCTTCTTTGTTATTTATTGAGCTTTAAAACAAATGAATAACGACTCTATATAATAATATAAGAATAATACACGGAGGACGGAGCCTCTCTTTTCCTCCCCCTCTCCTGACAGCCCGTCAGTATCCGTGGTCTCATGCAGCTGGCTGATCCAGTAATGAGTGACCCGACAGTAAAAATAAACATATTTATAACTAGTTTAGGTAGTTTGAGAGGTAATTAAAATAGCTAAGGGTGATGATCTAACTTGAAGTGTGTGTTTTGTTCCGCTCATCGCTCCATCACAGCGGGCGGAGCTGCAGGTTATCATGCAGAGCTGCGTGTCTCCTCTCCTGTCCGATTAGACTTCAATCGCGTTTATGTCCATATCGATCAAATCTAGCTGGAAGCTCCTGCTGGGTGCACTGTCCTGCGAGATACCGGGACCTGGCTCGAAACACTGGGGCTATTGCGTCATCGTTATCAGGAAATGATCGTTATAGGGCGTAGACACGGAGCCGTTTGCCCCCCCAGAGCGTTTAGTCCGCAGATCTACCCACCTTGGGACCCGTTATCGTTATCTGCGTTTCCCTGTCGGCCTCGGGTGGCCAAGCCGTCTATCTGATAGAGAACTGTAGCGGATACGACCGTTATCGTCCTCGTGTGGCTGCAGCTTAAATGTGCCGGTGCTTCTCTGGTCCTATTTGCATAAGCAGAGGCTTGTTTGTTTGTAGCCTTTATTTAACCAGGTTAAAAAATCCCATTGAGATCAACGATCTCTATTTCAAGGGAGACCTGCGGTAAAGGCTGTTGTCGGCTCCCACTTAAGTAGTATTAATGTGCCAGCAGAATAATCAATGTGTTTCTAAGAGAAGTGCTTTGTTGGAACTGCAGAGGTCAAGTAAACAAATGAAACCCAATCTGAACCACTGTGTTTCTGCGGCTACAACAAAGAAAAGTCATTATTTACTAAAGGTCTCTCACCAAACGGTAAACAATTGTTTCTGTAAATGGATTGTTTTTATTTCAATGGCCTCCACCATGTATTTATTTTTGCATATTAAGAAATTATCACGTTAACACAATTACACAACAAAATTCAATCAGGTTAAAAACAGTAAAACATAATCGAACACTCATTAAATCAGAAGAAAATAATTAAGAAATAAACAAACATCATAATATTATCACAACAGCTTGCTTTTATTCATTCTTGGTGGTCAGTTGTATTTTTAGAGAAAGTGTATTTATATATTTATTATTTTTGGAGAGAAACTTTAGGATTTTAGACTTTGAAGACCATTTACATGCACTCAAACGCACACTACAGTAAAGAGAAGCTCCAAAAAGCATAATAGGGCCCCTTTAAGATGAAATCCCCTCTGTTTGTGTAAGGACTGCAGATGGAAATGAGCTATTAGCTCAAATCTGGCATAATTCATCTCTTCTCTTTTCTGAGATTAATGTATTTGTATGCATGGTCCTTGTGGAATTAAATACATAATATATAAAAATGAATATATGTAATGCATTAATACAATTCTTATTCTTTTTGAAGGTGAAGCTGAAGAAGTACACCAAGTTCATCTTCGTTCGTGACCCCTTTGTGCGTCTCATCTCCGCCTACCGGAACAAATTTGAGCTGCCCAACGCGAATTTCTACCGGCGCTTCGCCCAGGTCATGCTGCGTCGCTACGCCAACCAGCCGACGCCTCCCGCCTCCGCGGACGAGGCGTTCGGCATGGGCATCCACCCGTCCTTCCCCAACTTCCTGCAGTACCTCCTGGACCCGCAGACGGAGAAGGAGATGCCCTTCAACGAGCACTGGAGGCAGGTGTACCGCCTCTGCCACCCGTGCCAGATCCAGTATGACTTCGTGGGCCATCTGGAGACGGCGGAGGAGGACGCCGAGCATCTGCTGCGCCAGCTGAAGGTGGACAACGTGGTGGAGTTCCCCACATCCAGTAGGAACTTCACGGCCAGCACCTCGGAGGCGGATTGGTTCAACACCGTGCCCCTGGAGACCCGCAAAGAACTGTACAAGCTGTACGAACCCGACTTCAGACTCTTTGGATACGACAAGCCGGACTCCATCCTCAATGAGTGACACACACACAGAACGTGCTTTTTTTAATGTGTCTTACTTTTACTCCAACAACAGACACACCTCCCCTTGTTCTGGGCTTTGTGTCCTCCAATCTTGTATGACCTACACTGAATGTACACATTAGGGCTGCACAACTTAGAAGAAAAAGAGAATTGCTATTATTTTGACCAATATTACATTTTTGCAATCTGATTCACGATATTGGTGAGCGGATGAGTTAAGAAGTACGTAGGCCATTCAAAATTAGTTTGTTAGATGCGCTAGTTGTCATATCAATTATTTAATATTGTCCATGACGAAGTGTGATGCTTATGTAAAGCATGAAATGTGTTTAGAAATACATACCAATGACAGCTATCTACAAGAAGTAATTGGTCATTCTGTAGTAAACAATTTTGTAGGCCCGGATATCTCTGCAGCTTCGCAATACTTCAGCAAAAATTGTATTTAACACATATTTGGCCTTTAACAAAAGTTGTTCTTCCTGCAATTTGAATATTAGACTAGTCCAAATTGCAATTTTGATTACATGTTGATGAATTGTGCAGCCCTAGTACACATCATCAAGGACACTCAGTGCTCTAAGGAAGCACATGAATGAGGTGGAGACAGGTTAATATCCATTGTTGTTTTTCTTTTTTAAATCATAACGATAACAAGAAGCACACAATTAAGAAACACAGATATGGATTGTGGAAAACAGGATGTGTTTTTACATGTTGTACATTCAGTGTAGACCTTAACTCAAAACGTTGATGTCATGCAGCACCTGTAATTTGTGATGTCATACGTAGCAGGATGTGACTGTATTTGGTGCGACACCAACCCAGATGCAGGCCACAGGGAAATGTTTGCAGTTAGTTAAAACAAGGTGTTATTAGATTAGTTGTAAGTGTTAGTTGCACTAGTTGTCATCTTATTTATTACACTTTGTGCAATGCTTATGTGAGGCTTGAAAGGGATTTAATGTATGTTTTAAAAAATGCATACCAATGACTATCAACATGAGAACCTGGAGGAAATATTTTATACCTCAAACACAGATTAGGACGGGATCAGACAGAGCGCTTTTTAGCAGCCTGAGAAGTGTTTTGTAGTCGTGTTGATGTGCACCTCGTGTTTTTCCCACTCTAAGCACCTTGCCTTTTTGCAGGACTGTTGTTGAAAAAGAACTTGAACTCAGAACAGTAAATCACTGCAAATGTTCACCGAGTTGTTTAATCGTATGAATTAAGAGGCGGGGCTTCTGTGGTTGTGACATTGTTAGCAACCTAGCTCAATGAAGCTAACTTTGCTGACTGTTAGCTTAGCAACCCATTTGTTAACCTGTTTAGCCAGTTAGCGTTGCTTGCTTGATAATTCATATACGTTTCAGATTGGAGAAGCTCATTATATTAATAGAAATATTTCAGACAACTATTTGCAGCTTGTTTTATTTAGCTATCTAGCTCAATGCAGCTAACTTAGCTATCTATTTGCTAACTCAACCCATTTGTTAAGCCGATACATCTTAGCCAGTTAGCATTAGCTATCAAAAGTGAACCGTTAGCATTGTTAAATACAATCAATCCACAAGATGCTTGCTTGATAACTAATTTTAACTGGTTTTACTGGAAGCAATCTATATAATACTATGCCTGTCTATTAGGATAGGTAAGGTAGCTAGCTAACAACTCGCTAACTAATTACATTTTTTTTTTAAAGGTTAACATTTTTTGAGTTTGCTAGGCTCAGAGACAAATTAAGGCTAAGGCGGGGGATCCAGTGGAGGCGTAGCAACAACAACAATCATTTTTAATTGTATGCTTTTATAAAAAAAAAACAAGGTGCACCGTGTGTTTTGAAACCTGCAAAAAGCTCTCTGTCTGACCAGACCCTTAGAGGATGCTCATATGTTACCTTAACAACAATCCCTACTGCTTCTTCAGACCTGGTGCAATAGTTTGAAGCGGAGAAGTGCATTAGATTATATCAATAGAAACATTTCAGACAACTCCTTAGCAGCTTGTTTTATTTACCAGTTTCAGCATGGCGTTATCTTATAGAGAAGCACAGCAGCTCCAGTTAATGTGTCTCAGCTTGTCTTTGAGGCACAAAACTGGAGTTTCTACATTCTTTTAAAATCATCCTAGCTGCATGAACACAGGTGAGCCTCTGTGTATTTAAAGGAAAAGATTTCCAAAGGGAATATTTTTGTTTTAATGCTTGTTGTGTTGCTATGACTATTAGCATTTATGGACCTTTGTGTTTTAACGCACAAACTGCAGTTACTGACTTACATCGGGTAACCCTGGAGACTGCAGCTATTGTTGCCCCCCATCTCCTCCAAATATGAACTTTTTTTAAACTGTATGTTTTGAGGGCAGGCATTTTCATGGGGCGCAGTATTGTGTAGCAAGGAGAAGAGCACATTACATGGCGACAAGAAGCAGTGTTTTTCAGTATTGTGCCATAACATCAATCCAGGAGTCGGGTTGTTTGTAGATGAATGCCAGTATTAGAGTCAAGATCAATTAAATAGTGATCCGAGCATGGATCAGATGGCTGCATGTTTTATATCAGAACAGGTGGAAGATAAGATAGTGCCTTTGGTTGCAAAAGTTTACACAGCAAAAAAAAAAAAAGTATTTTTGTAGAAGGACTTTTTACTTTGAACACGATACAGTGAGATCTGTACGAAGCCACAAGGTATATTTGATATGTCAGGCCTTGTTTATCTTGTGGCTTCAAATAAAAGAATAGGAAAACAGCAGCAGAGCCCTTCAGCTGAAATGCTTTACCGTCTTTATGGGGGTTTGTATGATGTGAGAACTCTTTACAGTGTGCTTGTGTTGCTTTGTGTGTCATGTAACACGCAAGATTACTGTGTGCTTTGTACTGTATTTGATCAATCTGCACATGTACATGTTCACACACTTGACTCAGTGTTGTCTTACTGTCTTTTGCTTCATTTGTTTTGTACGGTGTGGGTATTTTTTACTCCTCAATGTCTCAGTTCATAGTGTTTTCTGGGTAAATTGGAATTATAAGGGATAAATGGCTGGTTTTCCCAAAAGTCTGTCATCATCACTTGTGTTGTTTTCCATGTACGTCTAAGTGAACACACAGCTTATCTATTTCAACACACACTCCCAACTCACCAGTGTTTAGATTGTCAGATTTTTTTGTATTTTGTTCCTTTCTTGTGTTTTGTTGTTGTTACTGTCCAATGTCAGAAACGTTGCTCTTGGCTGTATTTTCTTTAAAAAGTGCAAACACCGTGAAATTGAATAACTGTGTAAGGGATAGAAAGGATTTATTTATTGGCTGAATAAAACCTATGGAAGCTGCTTCTGTAAAAGGGAAATTCAGTCTTTATTAAGATTACAGTTTGAAAAGGTGGTATGTTTTTTTGCCCGCAGCGACCAGACGCTTCAACAGCTTTCTTGCTTTGAACTGCTTAACGGCCAAACCTCGTCCTACATTACCACCTGATGTCAGATTCTCAGCATAAAATGCAATCACACGTCCAAAAGCTCAAATCTATTTTTGTGAATGATGTTTTTGTAACTCATATCAATACTTTACAAGAGTCTTTGTAGTCAGTGTTCCTCCTCTCATCTACTGGGAAAAAGCAAAGCATTCAGTTTCCTCCGTGTCATCTGTTCATTGTAAGAGAAATAAAGGATGTGGGGCATGATGGAAAATGTATTCGTCTCTTTGTTTCACTATCCATTCTACCTCAGTAAACTAAACAATTCACGTGAGACAATATTGCCACAAAACCTCCTTTTAATATTTAACAATATTGTCTCAACACTACGAAGCAGAATAATCCCTTCATGAAAGCCTTGTGGAAATGGGGGAGGGGAATATTTCTTATCAGGACAACAGGAAAGCAAAACTGCTCCAGTTCACGCCAGAAACATGTGAACAGGAAATGTGGAGCAATCTTCTGGTTATTTATTCCTAAAAAATAACCTGCCAACTAACTACAACCATACCGTCTTCATTTATAACAGTATAATGTGGATGATGTGTGAGACATCAAACAGTCATCAGAAGTGGATAGATAACGTATAAGCTACGACAGAAAGCACAGAGAAAAAAGGGGAAGAAACATTTGATTACTGAGCAACTCTCTGTGACATCCTCAAGGGGTCACTGTGTTAATTACTATCATTATCTTATTTTTATGAGACCCTTTTGGAGACAGTCCAGACCACATGTGTCAAACTCAAGGCCCGGGGGCTGTTAGTGGATTTAATTTCGGCCCGCAGGATAATTTTTAATTACTATTAGATCTGGTCCGCCGGTATATTGCACGCACCACCTTCACTCAATCCTGAGGGATCTCCTCAGCTCAGAGCCTGACCCCAAACATTGATGACCTTGCACCCAAGATGAGATGCCAAGTATCTGGCTTGAACTAGCATCACAGAGCAGCACACTGAGTTTCAATGGATGTTTCCTTCTGCATGTTTTTTCTTGCGACAACAGGGCATGTTTGTTTTTTTCTTTGAGGGAAATTGTTTTTTTGAAGCTGTGGTTGGCCTGTGGAAAAATGTAATCATAAGAAATGGCTCCGGAAAAGCTGCAGATAGAGCCATTGCCATAAGAAATGAATGCAACTGATTATTTAATGTTTAATGTTGTTTTATAGGCAATAATTTAAGCTTTGTTAGTTCCAGGTTTAATATGTGCAATAAGTTCATTTCAATAAGTTTTGCAATAAACATTGAACCAGTCCGGCCCTCGACTAGTACCCATTTTTTAATGTTGGCCCAATGTGTATTTGAGTTTGACACCGCTGGTCCAGACAGACCAAGCCCCTTTATGCCTCACAGGTTTCCCACCCACCCGGTTTCCACAGGTATTTGCATTGGTGGGCAAAGGTATTTTTTATCCACTCCATATTGTTTCTGGGATCATTTTAATATACCTTTAATTTAGGCTGAACTGATTAGGGTTAGGATTTCCACTCAACTATCAGAAATAACTTTTGACCCTCATGGTAAATTCAGACACACCAACAAAAACTTGAGTTAGCTTACAGAAAATCTACATAACCATGTTTTAAGACGGCTATCTTTGGCTTTAACGGTATTAAATTATGTCGTAAACAGCTTTCAAATAACAGAAACACGGAAGTCTGTTTTGCTTGTTTTATTTTCAACGTTTTTACCGTAAGTGGGGTGTACACTTCCCTCTAGTGGTCATATTGGGGAACTGCATTCATGTTTGGCTCATAACATTTGAACACTATACAGTTTTATGTATAAAACCATGTACATTAGTGTGATAACAATACACAAGAGTATTATAAAATTGGTAGCTTCATTAACACAGACCGTTTTTTTAGCATCACATGTCAAGTTACTGAAAAAAGCGAAGATTGGATACAAAAATTACCCTGAAGTCACAAACCCTGACATATTTATACTTTAAACAGCATATTCAGTTAATTTCTTGACATTTTTATTTTAGCACCACGATGAAGCCTGCACTGAAAAATGGAAACATTGATAATTAAATGTATTATGTCTTATGTCAGATTACACATAATTGTATTAGGTTAGTTGAAAGCAATAAAATGTAAATAGGTTCAATTTAAGATTATTGCTTTCAACTAACCTAATACAGTTATGTGTAATCTGGTGACATAATACATTTAATTAAAGACAACGTTCACAGTTTTTTAGTGATGTGAACTTCTATTTTAATCTCAATATAAACCTAAGAAGAAACAATTTTTCAGTGAGTCTGTGAAACTTCCAATTTGTTGCTTTCCATCCACCTGAGCTCAACAGTCTCATGCTCGGCCTTTCTGCATTACCTCTCTTTTTTAGTTCCCCTCTGTGGTTCCTTTGATGAGGTATCCATTAAAAGTGATATAGACGTCTACATCATCGCTGTAAATGGCGTTCTCCCTCTCCCTCTTGTAGAGGCGCACCCACACCTCGTCCTTCAGCTTCAGCTCCAACATCAGGCTCTGACTCTGCATGATGGAGCGGTCGCTGGGCTGGGCGTTAAACGATCACCTTCTCCGTGTCGTTGTGCATGATGTGCAGGTACGTCTCTTTGAAGTTCCACGTGTGGATGTTTAGGTTGAAGAAGTAGATCCCCGGGACGCGGCAAAGGAATTTCCCGTCAAACATGTTGAAGTGGTCGTCCTGGTTGACGAAGACCGTGTCGAAGACGAGCGCCTGGTAGGACTCCAGGCTGTGGAGGGATTTGCGGCGGCCCACGGAGAAGGCAGAGTGCTGGACTTTGCAGGCGTCTCCTGGGACCCCCGCCGGGCCCTTAGTGCCTTTCAAGCCCATTGTACCTCTGGAGCCTGGAGGGCCTTCTTGTCCACTTTTACCTGGAGTTCCTCGGTCGCCACGTTCTCCTTTGTCACCTAAACAGAGAGATTATCGTCAAACTACCGTCAGAAATAAAGAATATGTTAACACAAAGTTACGTTTCATTTAAGAAAACGATTGATGTGTTTTAAGGCAAGGCAAGGCAAGGCAAGTTTATTTCTATAGCACTTTTCAACACAAGGCAATTCAAAGTGCTTTACAAAAATGAAAGACATTAAGAGCATAAAACACATTAGAAACATTAAAAAGCAAAGAAATAAAACATGAATAACACAGGTACATGAATAAAAGTTGCAGTACAGTGTAAGATGTGAATAGTTCAAACTTAAAGGGGACCTATCATGCAAAATGCACTTTTGTACGTCTTTTATACATGAATATGGGTCCCCGGTGTTCCAGGGAACTCACCAAGTGTCAGAAAACACAACCCTCTCTATTTTCCTCCATACCCAAATCTCTAAAAAAGGGGCTGCAACGGATCTGATAAAAACTGATCCAGATTTGAACACGGTCCTGACGTCAGGACAGTGGCGCTACGGCTATTGGGCCAACTCCACCAATCAGGAGGAGACAGCCACGGCCATTGCCGTTCGAAAGCGCTGGAGACGCTGTAGTACATATACCAAGCCTGTAGATGGTGCTGTTCTCACAGAATCAGCCCTTGCAAAAACAGAGCTAAACATTTTCAAATTGAGCAAAATGAGGCATGGCTAAAATGCATGATCTGTTTGGTATTTTGAAAAAAAAAAAGTATAAATATGCCTTATATAGGTATAGTCCTACACTATATTATTCAAATATAGCATGATAGGTCCACTTTAAGTAACTTGTTGGGTACTGAAGCTGAGTTGAAGAGTTCTTCACACTGTATAAACCAGGGGTGTCAAACTCAAGGCCCGGGGGCCAAATCCGGCCCGCGACTTAATTTCATCAGAATCAGAATCAGAATACCTTTATTAGCTTAATGTTACATATGTTAAAAAAAGTACTAAGTTATGATATAATAAAATGATATAATGTGGCCCACAAGAGCTCTGAAAGAATATAATATGTTTATTATACGGTTGCATGGCGAGTTACAGAAGCACGTTGCCCATACATGTACTGTAGCACAATGCATCTCAAATTTGACTTTTTTCGCAGAATTTGACTTTTTTTTCTTCAAGTTTGCCTTTTTTTCTTCAAAATGTCACCTTTTTTTCCCTCTAAATTTCACTTCTTTTATTTTGACTTTTTTTCCAGAATTTGGCTTTTCTTTTAAATCATTTTGTGACATTCTCACTGAAGAGACTTGCAATTATTTGCCCTAGACTTCAGCTTTCAGACGTAGTTAATTATGAAGTTATTACCCTATCCAATAATCATCCAATGCAGTGGCAATAATGTCATATAATACATTATTTTATATACTGTATATTCAATATTTAGATATGCATTTGTATATAGTCTTAAAGTAACAACCGGCCCTTTGAGTGCAAACATAATGCGAATGTGGCCCGCGATGAAATTTAGTTTGACACCCCTGATCTAGAATGAGTCGATCGACAGACAAAAAGGTTTTTGATCAGCAATTAAGCGTTAAAGTAATTGTGATTGCTCAAATTGTCAAACACACTTGGAAAGAGAAGGGTGAGAAGGCGGTATTAAGGCGGTATTAAGGCGGCAACCTCATTGCTGGATGCCATTGATTTCTACACCCTAAATTCCACTTGAAGAAAATATGTGGGAGTTAGCTTGATAAAGAAGATTTTTCATGTCAAAAAGATAACTTTTGGCTTTCGAAAGTCATTGCATAACTTGGAAAACCTGCAGCATTCTCTAAAATCTTCTAGAGTTTTCTGCTTATCAGCAAATGCAGACTTTTAAAGCATCCTAAAACACCTAAGATGTGGCCATATATGGCAGTTAAAAGTGCATCAACCAAGACAAACGGTGGTCTGACATGGAGTACCTTTGAGGATGGTCATGTTGATGTAGGTGTGGATCTCAGGCTTGTGTCTGAGCTGTGTTTCTGGCGGAGGAGGGTCTCCGCTGCCCTCTGGTGGCTCCAGGTGATCACAGCAGCGTCTGCAGGGGACACGAGGAGAACCTGGGGGGGGCACCAGGGCCCCGAGGGAGGCGAGGGACAGAAGGACGAGGACACCCAGCATATCTGTGCCTAGAGTAAGAACAGAGAAGGGTATCAGATGACAACTGTACGATTAAACTTGAATGGTCAGATCAAGTCTGAAGTTTGACTTGCATCACAGCAGCTCCATGTGTAACGTCAACAGACAAATACCAAGATACAATACATGAAACACAAACAACAAACATTAACATAACAGCACGATCAGTGAGAGAAAACCTGCTCAAAGAGCCTTCAGCGTGCATTTGATCTGGGATCAGCTCTGTGTTTACTGTGAGGGTTGACTGGAGCACAAAGGATGCTTCAGTCTCACTTTATTGAATCGAGGGACCCTGTATCTCCGATTAGATCAGGGGTCTCGAACTCAAGGCCCGGGGGCCAAATCCGGCCCGCGACTTCATTTTATGTGGCCCCGCAAGAGCTTGCAAAGAATATAATACATTTATTATACGGTTACATGCCACTTTACAGAAGCAGGTTGCCCATAAACTACATGTCCCACAATGCATCTCGTTTTGTGACATGCACACTGAAGAGACTTGCAATTATTTGCCCTGGACTTCTGCTTTCAGACGTAGTTAATTACTAAGTTATTATCCTATCCGATAATAATCCAATTCAGAGGCAATAATGTAATATAATACATTATTTTATATATATATATTATATATTTATATAGTTACAACCGGCCCTTTGAGTGCAACCTTTATGCAAATGTCGCCCGTGATGACATTTTGTTTGACACCCCTGGATTAGATGGTAGTTCATATTCACTGTTCAGAACGTGACTGGAAGAGCCACAGCGTTTTCGACTAATCAGCTATAAATGAATCTACTTATTTATATAAATAGTTATCACCACAATAAACCGTATTTAATTTTGTCTTAATGTACATATCATATTCTATTGACATGTATATAGACTTCTTGCACTATTTTTTATTGTATTTTATTATATATGTTGCATTGTTGGAGCTCAGCTCAGAAGAATTTCATTGTCATTTCTACACTGTAGCTTTGTGCATATGACAATAAAACCTTTGAATCTTGAATCTTGAATCTTTGAATCTTGAATCTTCTCCTGGTGAATGTTGGGGATTTATTTCACTTGACCTATTGCAACTGGATCTGAGTCAGCGCTACAGTGAACATTGAGTGAGCATTGTGATGTTCAGCAGGTATATTGTTAACCATGTCTTAGTCTAAACCAGGCACAAACTAGAGCTGAGGTATTTGGACATAAACAAAGTAATGGACGGATTAACATTTGAAGATCCTTTCTATAAACAGCCAGTAGTTTGTAGGCAGCAGGATTTTTGGCATCGGAAGCGTTCTGGATTCATTTTGTTGGCCAGATGTATTGACCAATCAATTCTAAGACAGCTCTGGCTGAATACGGATAAACATTTGGTGTGGAGTGCAAAAGAGGCTGAAAGCATTGACCGAACTGCTTTGTTGGAACTTGTTGGCTATTGTCTGTTGAACATTAAGCTTTTGACTACCTTGTAAAATAGCTCCTTGCACTCCATTCTGGCATCTGAGGTCGCTGATCTGACTGTAAGCAATAGGCAGTGCGCGCTGAAAATAATTTATATCAGCTAGAACCCTCTAAATATAGCCCTTTCTCCCATTGGCTGAGGGAAGGTCATAAGGTAGGCACCATCTTCTGGAAAACATGAACGCCTGTACAAAAACTTCCCAGTAACCAATCCAACGCCATTTGCCAGGAGTCAGACAGGATATCTGGAATGTAGTTTGATGTGCGTTATGGAAACATGGCTGCACCACGATATATCTGACAACAACCTTTCCATCGATGGCTTCAGGACTGTTCGGGCAAAGCTTCCATCAACGCTTGCATCAAATACTTTTCCATCAAAATCATTCCATCAACGCTTCCATCAACGCTTCCATCAACGCTTCCATCAACGTTTCCATCAACGTTTCCATCAACTTTCCTAACAACGTTTCAAGGTTTCCATCAACGTTTTTCTGTTGTTGTATTCCAATATTGTGCAACTGTCACAAAACCTAGATTCCCCCTGTGATTAATAAAGTGTTTTGATCGATTGATTGGTCCAATAGTTGATGAGCTATTTCAATATGCACCTAAGTGGTAGACTGACCCACCAATGAAAAGCGCCATCTGATAATCAAAACTGCTAGAATTTCAAAAAGTGACACAATTATAAGTTAGATAAAGTGTTTGAGCTAAAACAGAAAAACCTCTTTGCAGAATTCTTAAGCCTTTAGGGGTCTTGGTGAAGAAAGGGTTAAAAAGTTAAAAGGTCTGCATATTTTTAAGATGAGGCAAAACCATGGGGATTCCCAAAAGCCACAAAACGGTGTTAAATTAGAGAGGAAGGAATTAGAGCAGGATGAGATAAAAGCCTGTCGGGGATTTGCTTCTATCTTTTTATGAACCACTCATCTCATTTTGTTTAATTGTGGATTAAACACAACTTGAATATTTAATTCACCAATTGGGATTCATTCCGACTTTTGCCTTTTAATGATGTTAAATGTTTCTGAAATAAGAGGGAAACATACATCCTCAGTTCACACAAGAAAATGGGGAAAACCACCAGAAGCAAAGACGATTAAATTGAATTTAAGAAACATATGTACAAGACGTTGTTCAGCAGCTTCTCAGGAAATAAGACCATTATGTGTCCTGGATGTCACTCCCAGAGCAGCGGAAAAAAGAAAGAGGAATCTTCAACCCTGAGCCAAAGAAAGCATGTATCACCCCAAAGAAAAGAAACATTGTGGAAAAACTAATAAAGTGAAGCATTTTTGTAATTATGAGTTGGCCATGCTTTCACAGTGGCTGCTAAAAGGAAAATCCATGGAGGATTTCTGCACTCACTCACCCACAGAGAATGTTTCCTCACTAATGCGCTTCTCATACAAATCCCCAAAGTAAAGAAAATGTCAAAATAATGGAGCGAGCACACAAGGACCATAAATCACCTGAAAAATTACCCCGCAGGCAGCCCATAATTTATCCTCAATTAGCTCAGAAAAGGTTGAAGGCTTATTTTATCCAGAGAAAGTCAGTGGAGTGGGTTTTTTTTTTTATACAGAGAGCCAAGCTGAGTAGTTTTGAATGGAAAAGCAATGGCTGTGTGCCAGTGATCAGCCTGTAACTGGAACAGTGTGTCCTGCTGTGTTTATACAGGACAGCTGTATCCATACTGCCTGGTTGTTGCATCCTCCATACAGGGGTGCACAACTCAGGAAAATACCACCAAACAGATACTCTAAACGTTAGGGAACGCTGTGACTGTTGCAGCAGACAAAACAACTTGGACCAATTATATTCCCAATGGTATTCTGAAACTGGACCATTTTGTGGTCTTTACATTGAGTTCCCAGTTAATTAGTTACATATGTACACTCAGATACAGTCCAAATACTTTATTCTTCTGAAGGTTTTTTGAAACTGTTTGAAAAATGTTGATCATTTGGAGGATGGAGGAAATCAAATGTCTACAAAAAGACCAGTAAAGACCACTGACAGACACAGAAACGACTACAAAAAGAGACACAAAACGACTATATGGATATAGAAAAGACTACAAGGACAATAAAATGACTACTTGGAGATGCAAAATGCCCAGAAAGATTTTGATCTTGACAAGAGATCAGGCCAATACAAAAAAAGAGGCAAAACAATATGAAAAAGTTCCACAGAGACACAAAAAAGAGCCACAAAACAGCTACATCTAAGTGACACAAAACAAACTAGACCCTGCGAAATGGCTTAGGCAGAATGGTTAGTTAAAATGACTACAAAGAAACACAAAATAACTTCTAATAGAGGCTAAAAAGAGACAATACACTACTACAAAGAAATGCAAAATGACCATAAGAATATGCAATATCTTTACAAAGAGACACAAGATGACTATTGTATTGTACAAGTGCAAAAAGACACAAACGGATGTAAAGCAACATAACATAGCTTCGTTGTTTGTTTGTGTATTTTTCAGTCTCTCACAGGGGCCCATTGACATATCCAATGTTATGTTCAGGGTTGTTAGGAAGCACCGTTTTGATAGCCTCCTATTGCACTTTTATAAACTCTGATGCTGTGTGTGTTTATCACAATCACAATTGCACTAATAACACCGTTGTACAGCTTAATACAGCTTCATATGCATATTAAATTAACATATTATTGTTGGTCCTGATGTTGTGTAATCTGGAGTCACTCAGTGTAAATCTGCTGCTGTGTTGAACTGCTGTTGGGATGTCCAGTGTGTTTCATATGGCTCCTACACAGACCAGGGATATTACATAACATAATGTTTTCCCCATCTGAACTGGAAACGGGTAAATGGAAAACACACAAAGTTTATTCTCCTATATTTAGACACTGTCCCGACGAGGAGGAGGGGCTTCTTTATGGGTTTTGGCGCTTTTGTTTTCTTATTGCAAATGTAGATATGCATTGTAAATCCAATTAGGATAAAACTTCATCTTTACCATAACGTTTGAAAAGTCCAAGTTAAGTAAACACCCAAAGGGGCTATAGACAGTGAAACAACTAATTAAATATGGTCTACATTTAGCAGATTACCTATAAACGCGGATTTGTTTCTATTGGTGGTTTCGTGCAGCCCGGTGAGGTTCAAGCGTTAAAAAAAGTTGCGATCAGAAGTTCATCGTTTCATTTTCTAACAACTCTCCCATTCAGCGATCATGCAGACTGATAACTGACACATTAATCTGAATGGATCTCACCTCGTTCACGGTCCTGCAGCTGCTTCAGTCCTCCGGAGGAGAGAGAGAGTCCTGAGTCAGCAGCTCTCCCCTATGTGTCTCCCACAGATCCCTCCTAGTTTCATGCAGGCAACAAGTGTCTCTCCATTGATATGGGATGACTGTTAGCAGATTTATACCAAGTTGATGCTTCTGTTAAAGCTACTAGAAGGCAGTAGTTCAATCTGTGTTGTTTCGCTGCAGGTAAATCGTGTACAGTGCAGTTTGTGCGATCATAACTCTGAGGACCACCCTGCAGGGTCTAATTACAAAGTCTCTAAACCACAGGTCCGTCCCCCCCCCCAGGTCTGCACTTCCTCTCTGCTGAATTCCTCCATTCCTCTTTCCCTGCTATCTGCTGCAGCTGAAACAGAGAGAGAGAGAGAGAGAGAGGCAATAATCAACATTTCCAGACCTGGTGTAACCTTGTGCCTCACCTTAAAAGAATGTGCCCTGATAAGACGGAAATGTCTAATTTAAATGAAAAACTTACAAACTAAAAATGTAGTTATTGTATGTACACTCTAGAGCTCTAGAGTGAAACCCTAAAATAATAGATTCATGCTGTATTTACAATGAGCTTAAAACAATATGGTTTCAATGGAGAGTGTTCGTCCTTGAGTGTCTGTATTTTGGCTACACAGTTTAATAGTCTCATTATATATATTAGGAGCTGAGATTGAACTTCCAAGGGAAAAAATAAGGTACTTCAGTGGTTCATGTCAACTGTGATTTAAATTGGTATGTTAGTGAAAAACATGCCTAACACAAAATGTTCTTACTCCAAAAAAATGAACAGCTGACGCCAAAGAGTTTGTTTCAGTACAACCACAGACTGAAAACGACAACTAAGAGACAGAAAAACGACTATGAAGAGTAGCAAAAGTCTACACAGAGAATGAAATGACTAATTGGAGACGCATAATGCCCACAAAGATATGAGAAATGACTAAAGATCAAGCGAACACAAAGAGAGTTAAAACAACTACTAAGAGATGCGAACAAAACAAACACAAAACAACCATAAAGAAATACAAAAACTTCCAAGAGACGCCAAAAAGATAAATATACAAGTGTTGAAAAAACTATATAAATAAACATCCACTCTCTCCCTATTGAAGACATGTTGCAGTGGAGTCATAGCTGGTTGAACTCCATCTTCTTTACGACCCCATGTTGGAGTTGTTTGCATGATCAGTCTGTCAGAGAACGAGAGGATACGAGGCAGGACTTGTGGACACGTGTACCTCGAGCACAGCTGTTGACCATTACAGCTGTGGGTCCCGAGGGTTGAGGTTTCATGTTCTGCGGTTACATCAGGAGAACATTCCTCTGGTTTTCCGGCCAATGTAAACTTATACGAGTCTCGCCTGTGACCACCTGACCTGCGATATCTCTGTAAATATTTACTGGCTGTTGTCATTACAAATCAGACGCTACTATTGGAGCTCATAACTCTTCCTCCTGTCTGACCCCAGTAGTCCTCCTCTACTGTTCTGACAGGTTGTATTTCATTTATAAGTCGTAAGTCTCATTTATCTCTCTGTTTGGTATCTGTTTTATAAGCTCAAGCAGTATCCCACACCCTGACCTCAGAGTTATAAACTGGCGACTGATGACTAGATATTGGCGCTCGCTTGTGTCATAAAAGATGGAGATTTTTGAAGGCCTGAAGAATAATTTTATTTGGACACAACAACCTTACATCCACTTTTCCAGAACACAAGACATATCGTTAGTGGTTGCCATGATTATGTGTCACTGCGTTCAAAGTTGAAAACCAGAAATGAGTTGAAATGTGAGCCTTCAAAACATTCCTGTGGCTCGGCGGAGGAAAAACCGCTAGAGGACGGACAGTTGGTTAGCATTTAAGCATCTGACAAATCTACAAGGATTTAAAAGCTGAAAAAAGGATTTTATGAGATTTTAAAATTAGGCCTGCATTACCCTCTTTTATTTAGGAACAGCTGATTTGAAACTAGAAACAGACATAGATGAATGGTTCCCAACTTTGATCTCTGTGTGATGCAAACTCTGAAAATGAAATAAAAACCATCCCTGAAATTAAAGATAATCCTTTCAGTCACAATACTATCAAACTCTAGTAGGATATAACGGTACCACTTTACAATAAGACTACCCGTATAAAGGGTTTAGGAATAGTTTGTAATTCATTTATTAATTAGGTTGTGAACATTTTATAAATCATTAATAAGCTTTTATAAGACATGAGATAAACAGGGCAACTGTGACCGGTTGCTTGCCAAATAGTGAGCCCACATTTATCTGTACTGCTAAGCCTTATTAGAAATGATGGACTATGGACTATTGTGATATACCAAATGCACATAAATCAGATCTTGCTCCACTCAACATATAGCCTACAATAGACTATGCAGATTTGTTCTTGGTTGTCCTTTTCGTAACACATCACTGCACAATGTATAACCAACTTAAATGGCCTTCATTACATGTAAGAAGAAGACACACGCATTGGCTTCAGCTGATATTTAAATGCGTTTATCTTAACTATCCCCCTTATTTAAAGCAGTATTTTGTACTCTACTCGCCAAATCATCAAGTTAGACACTCTGTCCAGATTTATTTCTCTGTCCCCTCTGCAAAAAAATCTATTGGCAGAAGAGCGTTCATGTTCAAAGCCCCAACAGACTGGAATACGTGACCTGCTGCTATTAGATCTCTTGCATCATTGGATATGTTTAAACATGCATTATCACCTCACTTTCAACTGGTCTGCACTTGTTATTGATGAAACTGATATTGATGAAACTGATCTGCTCGACTGTCTCTCAAATTGTAATGATTGTAATGATTGTATGTATTACTTGAATTTTACTTAACAGACTGTACGTGGTTTGTATTGTGTGTCATGTTTTGCTTTTGGTGTCTGTAAGTCGTTGCTATTGTCGGGACCCCCTTGAAAACGAGATGGTGCATCTCAAGGGGTTTATCCCAATAAATAAAATGTCTATATATAAATGGAAGTAACTCATTAATAAATGGGAATGTGTTTTACACTTTACAAGGCTCCCTTTTGGCAACTATAAATGTTAGTAACTCGTAAATAAATGGTCATAAGAGATGCCAAGAAACATCAAGATGGATGGGGGGGGAATCAACTCAGTGAGCAACAGATACCAAGGATGCTGGCTGAGGAAGAAGACGAAGTAAGCTACTGTAGGTAGCCAATATAAGGCTTAGCAGTACAGATAAATGTGGGCTCACTATTTGGCAAGATGACTAAGCCTTATATTGGCTACTTAGCTTACTTCGTCTTCTTCATCAGCCAGCATCCTTGGTATCTGTTGCTCACTGAGTTGATTCTCGTTAAGTAGCCAATATAAGGCTTAGTCATCTTGCCAAATAGTGACCCTGTGTTGATGTATGAAAACTATGTTAGGACTGGTTTATAAATGGTTCTTAATGATTCATAAAGTGTTTACAACCTAATTCATAACCTAATTATGAACCCTTTATGAATCCTTTATAAGGGTAGTCTTATTGTAAAGTGGTACCGATATAATAAAAGGAAAAACATTCCACCGTATATATTAAAACCCCTGACTTACGGTTCATTCAAATGTATTATTATCTTTAATCAGGGAGAAAATACTTTCACAAAGACAAACATTCTTTAGCGACAATATGTATTTGTATTGAAGCCACAAGATGCCAAATATTTGATATCACATTCTTAGTCCCTATTTTAATTATCTCAAATAGCCTCTATTCAAGGTCATACAGAAATGGACAGTTACTATCTTTATTATTATCATTACTATTTATGTTATTATTATTTTTAACATGTTATTTTAATTACATATATATTTATTTGCTTTTTATCAAAACAAAAGAACATTTTCATTATTTGTATTTACTTATCATTTGAATATTTAATAAGTTATTTTAATTATATTTTAATTTTGTATTGCTTTTTTTTACAAACTAAAACATGTTTTATTTATTATTAATAATGTATTTATTTTCATTATTATTATTTTATTACTTTTTTAAACTATTTTTTTTTAAAGTTGTCTCTAGCAATGCAAAGGGAACTTCTTTTGTAATGTCTAATGTAATGGGGAACATCAATAAAATGTACATTATATTAAATGAAACTGCACTTCACCTAAAAGAGAAGACTCACAGTAAGTCAAAGTGCATATGAATCCACTGGAGGATGTGCAGCTGTGTTTCTGTTTCCTAAAGAGGGTGAAACACGGTCATCCCGACCCCAAATCCCCCCCCCCCCCCCCCCCCCCTCACTGCGGGTTACATCCAAAACAAGCCATGAGATTTTTTATCAGACTTTACAGGGTCTGCTTTTCATGAAATCGCTCTGTTTCATTTACTCCGTCTCTCTTTCTCTACATCTCTTCTTTGCCAAAGCTTCCTCTGAGATTGACAGACAGAACAAACAAGCTAAATGAAATAAAACAGGCTGAGAAAACAGAGATTAAGATAATGTTCATTAAATCAGGGCGAATAATTGAGATGCTAGTTTTCTTTGTTATACTGAAGACACGAGCAGATCCAAAACGAAGAAGAAGAAGAAGAAGTTCTTATTATCTTTTGTTCAGCTTTCTAATGTCCCCTAGTGGCAGAATGAACACAGTACATCTGAGATATTTGAGTCTATTGTGAGATGAATATGAGAATTGTCTTTCAGAGGAACAACAACAGAGAGGAAGGAGACAGTATTGTATTACCCTGTCTGTACTCCATTGGTGAAAGTTCTGCACTTTTGCACAATTTTGAAATATTTGTCTGAGTATTTGCATATCTAAAAATAACTTATTCTATTCCACTACAAGTCAGAGGCATATATTTAACTTTTTCTTCAACTACATGTCTCTGACAGCTTCACTTTCAAGACAATACAACATATAATCAACAAATGCATTAGAGTGTCTTATCGTATGTTAATTCAAAGCTATGTCAAACAATCTCCACCCTAAACGTTTGCAGCATTAAAGGGAAGGCATCAATGAGAGAAACATAAGATAATAGATGTTTCTGAAATGGGCCATTCCTGCAGGACTTTTACTAAAGTATTTTGCATTGTGATATTACTACTGTTACTTTAGTCAAAGTGCTGAATACTTCCAGCTCCACTGCCAAAGACAATGGGTTCATAGGGTTGTTGCCAATTATCTATTTGACTGTTTTGTTATTTGTGTTGATTGT